TTTTTCTTTTACAATCACAAAACAGCAGTAATAATATCTATCGATCTTTCCAGCGTTAATCTCAATTTTCTCCAGAATCCAACCGCTTTACGAGTTTATTATGTACCCATAAGAAATTCACCGCAGATACTTTCCCGTCGTAATAAAGTTCTCGTAAATATGTCTAGCTCGGAAATGCAAAACACTCCTATTGTTTTATCTCTATTTCGCGTAATAATCTTGTTTCATGCATAAATGCATATCATCTTAGTCAGAGGAAAACACAAAACAAAAATCTTCTGTGTTGTTTATTTTAGTTTCATGTTTAAAGGTAAACTAAACAAAATATAACGTTACAACAAACAATGAAAAATCAAATGGTGTTAAAGCTAAGTAAATGTTTTTTTTTCTAGTTTATCTTTTTCAATAAGAAAAAGTTGTTTTGTGAATTTTGTTGTATATTTAAGTGTAAATCGAAATACCACCGTTATTTTATTAAAACAAAAACAATAAATTCAAGCAATCCGGATGCAAATCTAAAGGGCAAACTTCTATTTAAGCATCTCTCCCGCGGCAAAATTGCAAATGAAGCAACAAACTATCTTCTCAGTAGACAGCTCCAGTCAGTCACATAGCTGGAGAAAAGTTATATTTATAGACGTAGAAATTGAGCTACACTTTCTACTGAAATAGAACATAGGACTGGTAATTTGACACGATCATTGTTATTCAAAAAAATCCATTGTTTTTTTTCGCTATAGTCCTACTCTAGGTCATGATGTGATCGACAAATAATCGAATTTTGTCCGAATTTGCTATTGATTTATATTTACGAGTAGGTATTACCGTGAAATTACACTTTCGAAACAATTGAAAGCTTTCTATCAGGTTCTTTCTGACACCAAAATCTCTGTAAACATATCGTCATCCCTGTCATCTTTGGAAAAAAAGAGATAATTTTTACAAATATACTCGTACTCTTTATTAATAGGAAACAATATTTTTTGTTAACAGATAATAGGAGCAATTCACATTACTAGAACCGAGTAAATTTAAGTTAAATAAAACATTAAATAAAAGTGTGTTCTAATTGGGATACCACGATACCACAAAAATGCGTTATAAGGAAGTTATCTACTACGTTTGACTGTATTGAAGTCACCTGCCATCTGTGGCATTTCCGAATAGGTATGAATGTTGTGAATTTAAAAAAAAATAACCTACCTTGGCATAGGTCGACTACACACCTGCTATAAACTTGTCGATAATGAGCTGCCTATCGATCTCATTACGCAAACTTATCGTCGATTTGCGTCTAAAAAGACATTAAAGCAGAACTAAATTAAAACAAGACTTTGTTGTCCTATAAATGACGCATACGCAGTGACGCGTACTTGAATGTCAGGTTTTTGTTTATAAAAATGGATTTTTAACTACGTTTATCAACGTAACTTAAATCAAAACATTTCATGCGCAGTTGTATTATAATTGCTGCTAAATTTAAACGGAAACAAACATAAAACCAGTTAATCTTGACCTTCACAATTCGCAGATTGGATAATTCGTATTTGTATAATATAATGCTTCATCATTCTTTATTAATTGTATCGGGATATGTTCACATCCCGTCACAATTATCAATGGTGTAAAATATCGATAAAGTGATATCGATAAAAACATCTTAAAATGCTGTCTGCACATGAAATGCGGTAGTTTATTGCTTTAATGGGTCATAATATAACATGTTGAAGACATACATAACCTTGAAGTATAATAACTCAGTTGTAGTATGAAGGTGAAACGGTTGCCTAACTTTGTGTTGTGATGCGGTCATCGTTCACGTACTGGGCGCGTCTTGAGGCAATTTGGGATACCGATAGGGTTGACTTAAAAGACAAAAATAAAGCCCATCAAAAAACATCTGTAGACAACCATGAGGTGATACATAAAAAACTGGTTGTAACCAGTTTTTGTAGATAGTTTATAATACAACAGATATTTTATGACTTTGAAAAATCTGTTTGGAAAAGACATCTACTACAAATTTATATATGCGGTCTCATTGAACGCACGGAAATTGCAAATCAGGTTGTAGCGAAAAGGTGCATGCATCTTATATTAAAAAAATATATATTTTTATTTGGTACCAAAATGTTACAAAAAGCTTGACAACCCTAGGTATTTGTGCTGCGTAACCATATAGCGTGTCACCATTATTTAACTAATATTTTATGTGAGGACTGCTCTGTTGTTTCATAACAAAATTTAAACATTGTTTTGATTTCGGTTTGGTTAAATTTTCAAATGTAGGTCATTTCATCAAATTATAAAAAGCAAACATAAACTTTTAAATTTAATACTCTTATTTGTTTACTTAGTATCTAATCGGTTAAATCAATGTGCCTAAAAAACTGACCGGACTTTATCCAATATTTACAATCAAGGTGAAAACTTGACCTGCGACCTAACAAAGAAACATCTTGTTGATATGACTAAGTTACATTATAAATCTCTTTACATCATTTCGTTTCAACAAAATAATTTGTTCTCATTAAATTATAAGAAATTAATTCTATGCGCAACGCATATAGATATAGATCTTTATTCCGCATTCCCGTCATGGGAGGAAAATTTTTAATAACGAAGTAGTAGGGAAATGCAACACAACTTCCCTTGATAAGTAACTAAACTACAATGGTTCTCATCCTAACTCGTTATATTACCTACAACGTAAAGTGTGTATTGAGACGTAAATCTTTAGCTATCGTGGTCGTAGCATTTTATTACATTCGCCACAACCAGTAAGACCTATTGAGATTTCTCTACGACCCGTGGGAGATAGAGATTTTTGACAATCGAATTGCCCTTTTTTATTACCTTTTGTTTAATGCACAAAAGACTATTAAAATTTAACGGACATGAAATCGAATTTATTATAGTAATAGTTAAACTTTTCACTGTGATTATGTTAAATATAACGAATTAAAGAACTAATTGTACCAACAAAAATAATACTAACCCATTAAAACTTTCTCAACATCATTAGGTTTATAATAATTAAATATATTTAGGTAATATATGTACTTATTGTAGTATTGAATGATCACATAACATTGTACAGGTTTAACACCATCAAATGTACTTGCGATATAATGTAATAGAATAACAATACAGTAAAGTACCACACGTTACGTAAGCCTCATGTGGCGTAAACAAGGTAATCGTATGCCGTATGCCGGTCATGTCAAACTGCTAACATTTTATAATGATCTCACATCTCTATGCTACTTTTAATGCCATCTCATGTTACTTGTTATAAGATAAAATTTTGTTTATCTGCAATTATAGTTCGCTGCCTAAGTAAATGTTTACGCTAATCTGTTTAATTCTCTAAGGGATTGCGTTCTTTTTTCATTGAGTTTCCAGTCCCGACTTCATTCTTCAAAAACTTTCTTGTGGTACAGTAATGCACTATAGTAATTTTCGATAATTCTATCAATTTCTAGCTTTTTCAATAAATGGAATCAATCAAGCTCACTTTCACCCGTCAATTGCTATACGATTAGAAGTAAATTACCGTAGTTCCTAGAACAGAGCATTTTCCTACAGCACGAGACCGACGACCGATAAACTACGGTCACGAATCCCTCTGCGCAAATCACGACTCTTTCTTGGATACAATAGTCGCCTTGTTATTCCATTAAAGTCTGTGTAAGGGTGAAAGTACATCTCATGATTGGCCATTGTACGATGCAGGACGCGACGAATACGGATGGTTCTGGAGCAAGATTTCACTGTCTGAACATTCGTCTTGACATGGCGATTACCGGGCAAATGCTATTACAGTTTGCTTGTTTGTTACACAATTCAATGTAGGTTCAACAGAGGGCCCTGTTGAGAGAAATCCAATAGAACGGGGTCTTATCAGATCGGATATCGCGCGCCATTTGTGTCTCGTTACGTGGTTTTATGTGCTAGACCTTTAACAATGACACGAACCATTTCCGATTTATAGAAAACGGTTCAAGGCACTTTCACGAAAGCTCTCGCCCCTCGCCTTTAGCGTTTCGAAAGCGGCCATCATTTCTGCATTGTATATTCATGGAACATTACCATTGCTATCCAGTCGTTATACGATAAACCTATTCAAGATAAACTAATAGAGTAATAGGTATTGAATTAGCTTTTCCTCCTATATTTATTGACTCCTTAATATTTCTTAAATATTAATTTATTACAAATTAAGATCAGATTAGGATTCTAGGATTTGTATTCGGGGTAATAACTCGACATCAACCGCAAGGATACTGGGTCGATTACTCCAATATCATTTACCCTAATATTGGTTTTGTATAAAGTAACAGAGTTATTTTATCAACAGTACTCGAGTAAACAGTCAGACAACTTAATAAAACGTTGTTACAACTAGCGGATGTCGAGAGTTTACCATCAACTCTCATTGTCATTACGTAGTCTGGCTTTTAAGTGCCTTTTAAATTCATATCGCCGTTTAAAGAGGTGCGTTTAAATTGCTGTAACGATTATGTAATTGCTATAATTTTAAAACGCCGATAACGTCAGAGTTACAGTAATTTTAATGTTATTGTTTATACACTATACTGTTACATTAAAATATCTTAAAAGTTATTCGTGTACTATATATAAGAGCATAAATTGGATTAAACGTTGCTGTGCCGTCAACTATATTATTATTAGTGTAATTACCCGTAGGGCTAATTTAAGTACTTGCGGTTCTTTTTATACGCCCACGATTAATATTTCTAGAAAATACGTTGATCTGTACTTTAAACTTCTTATTTTAGCTGTGTTTTTTATATGTTTTGCTTTACGAATATTTATAGCACCTGTGTTTAATAAATAAAATATGTACTACAAGAATTTGTTCGTAACAAGCTAATTGTAAAATAATTTCAATTTTCAAAATGTGTTCAAATATGAGTAATTGTTAGAAAATTGATTTTTCTATGATATTTTCTAATGTTAAATTATCCTTTGTTTAGGTGAGTCGGTATCGGAGCGGGCGGCGAGCGAAGCCAGCGGCTCCAGCGTACAGGAGGGTCGCGTTACGAAAGTGCGTATCGCGCGTACTGCTGGCGGGCTCGGCCTGAGCATCGCGGGCGGCCGCGGCTCCACACCATACATCGGCGATGACGACGGGATCTTTATATCGCGGGTTACGCCCAACGGACCCGCCTACATGGCTGGACTCAGGGTACGAGCTTTAATACTTCGATTAGCTGGCGCTTAATTTATCACGTCGGAAACCAGTGTTTTCTTCCAACGAATACTGTTTTTATATTGATAAGAGACATTTATTTGTACAGCTGGAAGTTTATTTACGGTTAAAAAGAAATCGATGTCATGTGTCTTTCTTCTAAAGGATTTTCTGTCGAATTTACCTTACTCTGTTAAATAATTGATAATTCAAAAGTAATTATTTCGATTGCAATAGTGTAAGGTTTTTATTGCTTTTTAATTTGTTTTAAACATCTAATATTTACCCATCCAAGACAAGAAATCAATTAGTCAATGTAATTATCTTGTCAGGTGGGCGACAAAGTGCTTTCAGTGAATGGTACACCCGTGCTAGAAGTGGACCATTACTACGCGGTGGAAGTTCTCAAAGCGAGTGGACCTGTGCTCACACTTGTTGTGGCGAGGGAAACACCTCCATCTACCAGGTAATATGTTTTAACATTACATTTCATTTTGACTCTTGTTTTTAATAATATCATAAATACTAGCTGTCGCTCCCGACACCGTCCGTGCGGGATGAGAAAATAGATAGTAGCCGATTCTAAGACCTAATGAATATGCATATAAAATTTCATAAAAATCGGTCAAGCTGTTTCGAAGGAGTATGGTAACAAATATTGTGACACGAGAATTTTATATGTAAGATTTAAGCTAATTACTACTTTTAGTACTTAAGTTCAGAGCTAATTTTTTGAACTGGATTTTACTACCTTTCCACCTTATTCTTACAAGGAAAGGAGGATAAGGGGTAGTGGATTTGTTGGAATTTGCCCCGAAATGGGATATATCCTTTTTTTAATTTGGATGTAATATGCTTATGTTTATATGTAGAACACACAGCCGCGCTGCGAGCGGCGCCAGCCACCACTCCGTGTCGAGTGCGGCTGACACCGTGTCCACTCTGGAGAACGGACAGGTGATTTATGTCTATTTGTTTTATCTACGCTTTCTATCTCTGCCACCTCCATACAGACCAATCATTTCGACCTCACTCTAAACATTTCTTATTTCATCTACCTTTTGCTTTTGTTTTTTAATCTATTGAAATTAATTTAACGGTTATTCTGGTATCGAAATAAGATCGTTTATTATAAATATATTTTTTGTTACTGCAACTTCGTGTAGAAAAGGAAATGAATTCATAAGCAAAAATTAAATGTATGCATTTTATACGAAAATTAAACTTGTCATGTTGTCAACTTGTAGTTCATATTTCGACTTGTTGTTGCATTGATTATCTCATGTTTTTTTTTAATTATCAGGTAACAACAGGACGAGGAGTGACAGCCAAGCCTCTCATCATCAGCAATCAGTACGCGCAGGAATTCGAACCTGAACAAAAGGATCCAGCGCCGATTGTAACGAATGTCGTGTCACCGGAGTCGACGTACGCTCCCTCGCCCGCACCACAAGTGACGTACCAGCGACTGCAAGCCTCGCCCCCGCCGCCGCAAACACAACCTTATGTACCACCAGGTAAGGATCATTTTAGATTGTTTTTTTTAATATGTCACTTAACTCTGTAAGTAAAGATTTTAAAATCACAAGTTTTATAATACAACTTTTAGGCTAAAAATATTAATAAGATGCTTCGTTTAAAAATGTCTTTTCTTATTTTTTCGGTCATAATAATTGCTCATCATAGCCAAGGAGTTATATATTTTTAGTTTAGTAATTGTAAAATGAATTTAACCTAGATTATGTCTAAATAGTGGTGATTTATTCATATAGTTAATGACTAATAGTTAATAATAGTTATTATTTTTAATATTAACTTGAACTTGTTTACAAATATTAGGACAAAGATGTCTAGGCATTTTTTTCAAACAAAACTACGCCACAATTTCTTTGGCATAGTAAAAGAAGTCAATGTTCTGACAGATATTGATGATGCGGATACAAAAACAAGTGACCCGCGCTCTCTCGCACTCTATTGATTCAAATAGTTTTTGATCTTTGTGCAGATTACTGTGAGGTGGCTGAACTTAATGTTTTGTACTGCTACACATTTCTATTTATTATTAGGTTATTATTTATTTTATGTGAGAGCTAATAATACGTTATACAATAGGAATGAAAGTGTAATCTCTTTTATAATGGAATTTTATATATTTATTATGAAGAAAACAATTAAAACCCGGATGCTATTGATTATATTTTTTACATAAAAAACACTTATTAATGTTTTCTGTAGTTTTCTCCTTTGTGCAGTATTGTAATCAAAGGATCTATCATGAATAAAAGAGTGTTTGACCATACTCTGTAACAATGATGTTAAGCGATGATCTAAAGATTTGGAACCACTGGACTCTACTTGTATGAGTTTATTCTTCTAGTTAATATGCCAAATCATCTTTTGGATATTTTCAAATATCTTGGCGACACGGCGAAACTCAGCGGGGCGTAAAGAAGTGCGGGAAGAGGGTACTACACACAGGTGACCTTGAGCCACATGTTACAACACATATATTTGCAACAATACTGTTGTTGCAGTGTACCAGCAGAAGGTGCTGGTGCATACGACGCTGATCCGCGACGGCGCCGGCCTCGGGTTCAGCATCGCGGGCGGGCAGGGCTCGCCGCCGTACCGGGACGACAGCGACGCCATCTACATCTCACGCATCTCACCGCACGGCGCCGCCGCCAAGGACGGCAAGATGCAGGTCGGAGACAAGGTCATCTCGGTAAGTCATCAATCTCTAACACGTCGTCTATGCTTTCAAACTTTACTCTATGAAAAAATAAGAATTCGTTTACATTGGTATTTCTTTTAATAGCATCTACAATTATAAATGTATTTAAATATGACATCTTGTGGTAAAACTGGTCATTACTGAATTACTCTATTAAGTGATAAAGAGATAGGATGGTGTTGTGCAGTGAAGTTATTGTACTTGCAGATAAACGGCGTGGACATGGAGAAGGCGCGGCACGAGGCGGCGGTCGCGCTGCTCACCGGCCACGAGCGCTTCGTGCGACTCGTCTTGCAGCGGACCATCACATCTGATCAAGGTACCGCATAAATTATATAAAAAGCATAAGTTTTTTATTATAAAGATAATATTAGTATAACTACCTATTAAAAATCGTCGCTTACAGTCGAAACGATCACGAGAAAGTCAATATCCGAGGAAGTCAAAGAACACAAGACGAGTATGACCAACATAAACGTTGCACCACCCAAGCCTGCGAGCGCGGCCCCCACATTGATCGGCAACCACACGCCCGCCAAGACCACGCCCATCGGCACCGGCCCAGCCCACGTCACAGTGCTGACGTCACAGGTGCCCCAAGCCCAGCGCGTGTCCACGCCCGTCACACAGGTGACGTCACAGCCGCCCCGGGCCGCCTCCACTCCGGAGCCCACGCAGCCGATCCCGCAGCCGCCGCAACCCGCGCCCAGGAAACTCAGCCAGACGCAGACTAATGGACAGGTACAAAATAATTAACAAGGACCGTTTGCCAATGTCACTCTTTGATATTTGTATTAGTTTGAATCGAATGGATTCGTACAGTTTCCTTTGTTTTGGAATATTTAAGAATACTAGACTTCAATATGCGGGGTATATTAGTATTTTGGTATGTATAACAAATGTAAAGAAACGAATAGATAATTGGCTTTATAAATGCTTGCGGAGCGAAGCTTTCTTAGGCGCTACAATGTATAAGTTAACTTGAATAGGATAGTGAGAAATATTGCGCTTACAAAATAACTGTAGATATTGAAAAACATATTTAAGTTGTAAATTAAAAAGACTCTAGACCCCTTGCTTTGTACGTAAAGCGTCGTATTTACAGAAAATGATTGTTTACTTCAGGCGGGCACGAAGGCAACTAACAGTACGAGCACGCCTCTAACTCCCGGCGCCAATAAATTGCACGGCTCTAACGACGATGTCTTCGACGATATACAGGTAAGACTTGCCTCTAGCATTACAACGATCAAACTTTATGGCAGCTCGTGGTTAGCTGCGGCTTTGTTTGCACAAGTGGGCGTCAATTGGTCCCACTGGGGGCGGAGCTAAGTATGCCCCTCCCTTATAAAATATCCAGCTAATTTACTAGCCGCCATAAAGTTTGTATAGCACTATACATGGTGATGGTTTACGGTTTAACACGTTCACATCCATGCTTTATCATCGCTTACGCCACTGTGTACGTATCGCCAGCTGTAGACTAATTTTATATTCATTCGGGCGACGTCCGGTGTCCGAAGATGACGTCACCTTTGCGTCTTGAAATATAGAGCTCATATTTCTTGATGTTATGGTCGCGACATCTATCGGTATTGGGCGGAGTCACCGAATGATGCTTTCATATTTGACCTAGATATGCGGTTTTTTATAAATAAACGCTTTTAGAAAGGTTAGTATTGTATTGAAATTTTGGGAATGTCTGATATCGAGTGTGTTAGTTTAATCCAGATATCAATGTATATTTTATTGTTACAATCGAAAATTATATTGGGGAATATTTTTATTTTATTCGTTTCGACGGTTTTATAATAGAATTAGACGTTATTTAAAGTTTAATGTAACCATTTACATATTATAATTTATCATGTACTATGTTATGAAAGGCCTGTTTTATGTACTTTTTATATATAACTGCTACCATAAGCAAACATATCATTTTGTAAAATAACCCTTATATCATTGACCTTGGAACCTCACTCGTTGCACTTCGTGCATATGTGCAAGCGCAATCTATATGTGAAATAACTTCGCCAGCATAAAGAAGTACTAAACTACCAAAAAGACTTGCTTAAAAGCATATCATGTAACTATGCACTTTCCCAAATTCCTATTACCCCGTATCCTACTCAAATAAATCTTTATGATTCTGTCCAATATGACAAAAGCCTTAAACCTTCCCAATCTATTCAAAAAGAACCTTTAAGATGCTATCCATAAAATCTAGTCTAGTAATTGAAATTAACTAAGAGATGTCTAGGCCAAGTAGATGTATTTTCATAAGTCTGCAAATAGTTACAGAAGGGAGGTTTAACTACTAAATGTACTTTAAAAAATTCAAATTCGAAAACAATTTTTAGTATAAAATTTGTAGGTTTGTCTTACATAGTCTATATAATAACTACTAAGGGCGAATGATAATGATTCTCTATCTGGATATGAAATAATTATCTTAAAATTTAATTCTAGCTGTGCAAAAATCTCTCCGGACAACCGATGTAGTCGAATTTGAAACTAGATTGCTATATCTTTTATTCTAGATCCATTCGGTAAAAAACTCTAGATATTATTGAAATATATCTATAATATTAGCTTTGTACATATATAAATTTAACTATGTATTTATTTATTTAAAAATATTGAAACGGCACAAATAGTTTAGCAGTAGACCATTGTGATTTTGATTATGCATGTTCTTTTAAATTTGTATGAATGTAGAAGTCTGGTTTATATGGTACAGGTTGATTGAAATTATGCTTTTTTAATAAAGATTTTCATAAATTGATTGATGAAATAAGAATATGATAATAAAATAAGGTTTAAAGTAATTTGTTTTGATTTATATGTAACGAAAGGAAAATACACTCTTATATAAACTAAATTATAAGTAAAGTATATTAAATCATTAGCTTAGGCTTCTAGTGATTGCATACTTGATATCTGGATTTATAAAATTTTAAAGTACAGTAAAAAATGGTATGGTAGTTCCAAAAATAAACAACAAAAAGGAAAATTATCTTAAGAATACAAGTTAGATATTGGAGTGAGATTAGTATGTAGTTGTTGATACGTGTTATGCGTGGCTGATGCGATGTGAACGTGTTGACCGCGCAGCCGACGCGGGCGATCACGAACGAGGACTTCCAAGCGATGATCCCGGCGCACTTCCTGGGCGCGCCGCGACCCGACGACCAGGCGGGCGGAGGCGGGGGGCGGGGCGTCACCGTCACAGTGCACCGCCCCGCCCCGCCCACACTGCCCGCCCCGCCCACCGCGCCCGGCCGCGTCACCGAGACCATCACCAAGTCCACCTTCACCGAGACCACGGTGACGCGCGTCACTGACAACCACCTCGTCGCGCCGCTCATCATAGAAGTAAGAATATGATTGTGTTGCGCTCTCCCACATGATTCTGCTCACTAGGGTATTTAAACTAATACAAACATTTACAACTGTCAAATTCAATTCATTAACGTCATTTATTTAATTGCTGCTTTCTAGAAAGATGGTGTGTAGTTGTTGATACCAGATTTCAAAACAAATACGATTTTAAAGCTCTTTTGTATATCTTACCTTATTAAAGAAAACTTAAAGTCTATTTGTATAATATGTTAAATAGTTCGTCATATTTTAAATATCTAAAAGTGAAAACGTAAAAATTAGTTTAAGTACCCTATTGCCAATGACATCATCGTACCCATATTTACATTTAGCTGCAAGCATTGTAAGTATACTCACTGATATGCCAAATTTATATAAAGAAAGTTATTACAAATATATATTTTATATTTATTGTATTATATACCAACAATTCTCCTGACGCCAGTTAAAATTAATTCTAGTTTAATATATGCTTTTTCAAATAGGAATGAGTTCCACTAAGCCTTAATCCTTTTACTTGTTTTAAATGAAAACTTTGTCAAAATTATTAACTTGCTTGATTATTTTATTGTTGAAAGAGAATGACTACAGGAAGTAAATGTCATGTAAATTATTAATCTATATTTTTGGCATATGTCACAATGACAAAAAGGATACTTGAGAAGAAAGTAATATACCTATTAATAACTGAACAAAATTAATCTATTCCCAATGTTATCTTGTTTCAGAGATTTCGGTTTTAATGTTATATTTTTTAATGTTTTATTCTATCTTTATCTCTATTATATCGCTTTTTTAGCAAACGCAACATCTCGGAAAGCGAGCTACTTTCCGGTGGTGTTCGTTTATTATCTTATATTTATGTATATATTCTTAAATATATTTATATCTTAATCAATATTTAAAAAGCCAATTTGTAATGTCCGCACAAAAAACAACAAAATTGAATCTAAAGTAATGTAGCTACTGAACAGTCTTAGTCTTGAGATTAGTCTGGAAGTGCAAATTAATTTAAAACCTCACAAGCATTTCTGCTGATAGTTATTTGTCGTCTGTATATTTGTGTATACCGAATCCAGACGCTAAATATATATCTAACAAAACCTTAACTGACCTATTACATATTGGCTTTTAAAATATTTCTATTAACAGTTTAAAACCACGAACATAAATAGTTTAACAAACTTTTGAATCGCTGTATATGAATGCATTTGTAATGATTATACATTGGGAGATTTCTATTGTTTCAGGACGTGACGTTGCTGAAGGAAGGCGGTTCCCTTGGGTTCAGTATCATTGGTGGTACGGACCACTCCTGCGTACCCTTCGGTGGAAAGGAGCCGGGAATATTCATTTCACACGTAAGACATTACGAGAAATTCTACATCTTTATCTTTTTATATACTATCCTTTCACACGTTTCCGTCCGAGTGGAATTTAAAAAAATATTTAGTAGCCCATGCTTTCTTCCAGACTATGCTCTACATCTATGCCTTATATCAGTGAGATCCATCCTTACTTTCGCATTTTTAATATACGTAATTTTTTTAGAAGTTTATGAGCTATTTATAACTATGCTAAGATGCCAGAGCGTCCTTACGCTTGGAGCCACTTTACACTACCGACGAAGAATGATACTTTTCAATCTATTTGTTCAGTTTTAATGATATAATCACAAAGTAATAACTGGTATGTTGTAACATTTGTAGGTGGTACCCGGGGGCGTGGCGGCGAGGTCGGGCAAGTTGCGTATGGGTGACCGTCTTCTGAAGGTGAATGGTAAAGAACTGACGGGAGCCACGCACCGCGAGGCAGTACAACTGCTGCTGCAGCCCGGCCCCACGCTGGCGCTCACAGTGCGACACGACCCCCTGCCGCCCGGCTTCCAGGTACATACAAACAAACTTACATACATACACAAATCATACAACCTTCTAACAACCCAAATATAGTTCAGCTTTATTTCTATCTAACCGTTTCTGCTAGACACAACACTCTTCGCTAGGTTACAGCTCTAAATGACAATAATTATTTACCACATTTCTAATTAAAGGAATTTGACCTTTTCGTTGGTAGTAAGTTTTCAAACAAATTAATTATAAAATTCAATTTTATTTGAGTATGTAACAAAATAATTATGTTAAAGCTTCAAAAAAAGTAATTTTTGTTTGGTAGACTTTGATGCGATGATTGAAAGCAGCATGTTGTGTAAAGTAACATTTTGCTAACCATAATATATTAATATGATATATCTGTTATGTTTATTTTATATATTTATGACAATATTTTTGCACATGCTACAAAAAATACTGTGCATTTTATATGAAAAAATCTAATGACAGTACAACAATTTCATTTAGTCTCTTAATCAGCGACTAATACAATATTTATTTTTCGATTTGGCATTCCTGTGTTATACAGTAAGTGTACTGATTGCAAAAATAAACTCCACATCTCATATAATAAATAAAAAGAATATTAAATTGAATCAAAATATAATATCAGAATTTTAGGCGTTTGCATGAAAGTCGATGAGGTACACACAATAACAAACCATAATTGATTGCAATAAGAATGTAAATTGAGTATGTCGCTTAAGTAGCGTTTGGCGAAGAGAAATGTGCATTCGCTTCGACTGAAGGCATTTGGATGAATAGAAATCTGTCTGCCGCTTGTACTCTTTGTCAGAGGTAATTCGCTTTGTGATATGAAGGAATATTAATATGCACGTGGAATATGTTATAATGAAGTATTGTATGTAATAATACGTATGGTTGTTTTGTTTCACACGTGCGCACGATGGCCTCTGCGATACAATATCAGGGTCTCATTCAAGTTGAGATTGTTCACGCAACTGTAAGTGAAAGTCACCCGGCGATATCGAACCTCTGTGTGTTTACAAACTCTATGTCAGTTTACCCCATTCCGATCAGTGTGCGCTAACGTGCAGTGCAGAATATTCTGTTCTGGCTTTTATAGCAATAAAGGTTTTTTTAACCTTTCACATCGCCTTTGACACTAGTTTCGTAAGCTTCTTAAGGGTCTATAGCACGTCTCAATACTTTATAACATCGACAATAATTATAAAGCAGTTAATTTTGCCGTTTAAAATAAAACTGTTAGTATGAGTTGAATAAAATATACGCCATTGTGAAGAACTATATGGTGTATCTGAAAAAAGATTCGCAGAGCCGAGTTTCTCTAGGTGCATAATTGTATTCTATAAAACGATATTTTCAAAAGTTGAAATGATTTCGAAGTGGAATTAAACTTTATTTTCTTACTGACCCTATGAAGAATTTTTTATACATTCTGACGAACATCTATATAAAGTAAGAATGAGAGCTGAGGTTGTATAGACCCTTAAATTTTCAAATTAGCTAGCTATTCGTGAGCTAGCAATGTTCAGAATTATAACTTAATAGTTTGGCGAATGCATGACTAATGCTTTGCATGATGGTGTTTGTGAAATTAGTCCTGACGCTTATGTGAATTTTATATCGTATACGTGTTTCAAGTATTCATATTTTATATATGTCGTTTTAAATAATATTAGTATCTTACTATGTGTATTATTGTAGGAGCTAACGATAATAAAGCAAGAGGGCGAGAAGCTGGGGATGCACATCAAGGGCGGTCTGAACGGTCAGCGCGGCAACCCTAATGATCCCAACGACGAGGGCGTCTTTATATCGAAGATCAACAGCGGCGGCGCGGCCAGGAGGGATGGAAGATTAAAGGTAACAAGATATTTTCATAAAACATGACCTTAAAGTTTACAGTGAATTGCTCTTCTACACCTTTGCTGCCGTCATACAACATACTACTTAAGATCCAATATCGTGCACCTGATTTCCATTGCGAGGGTCAAATGACGTTTAGAAATGTGTATAAAAGTGGAGGTTACATAAGAATTGTGTTGTGGCAGGTGGGAATGCGATTACTGGAAGTGAACGGCGCGTCCCTGCTGGGCGCTACGCACGGTGAGGCGGTGAACTCGTTGCGCGCGGCCACGCAGGCGCCGCTGCACCTCGTCATCTGCCACGGGTACACAAGGCCTGAAAAGTATACCGTGAGTGTACATCTCCCATTTCCAGCTTATGTAATCTGCTACATCTCACTGTAACTACACCGTCGTAACACATTGAAACATATTGTTATCTCTGTTTGTTTCAATGGTAAAGTAAAGGATGACGATATGTACCACAAATACCACTGGAATCGATACCCACAATATAGTTATATCACGCACATAAAATCCATTCAAAATCTAATATTTTAAATGCTAAAGTTTAGATGGATGAATGGATGTTACCTAAAATGTAATCATACTAGTATTATAAATACGAATGTTTAAATGGATCGATGGATGTTTGTTTGAAGGTATCTCCGGAACAGCTTAACGGACCTTGATGAAATTTGACATAGATGTATAACAGACAGCTAGTAAATAATATCTTCTATAACCTTTGCAAATTATATCGTATGGAAAATAAGAAAAAAACGCATACAAAGTCAAGGGCAACAGCTAGTTACTTTCACTTGTTAGCTTTCATTCCATTCATATGCAAAATGGTATACAACACAATGTTGTAGAGTGTAAGGCTAGGTTTAGAAAGCACTGCAGTAGTAATAGGCACGCTATGCACAGACCGGTAGCGAGAGCGGGACAGCGGACACCGGCGGCTCTCTGTCGCACTCCACGTCGAGCCTGGACCGGGAGGACGGCTTGCACCAACAACAACAGGTTTCTTACTCTTCATAGTCATAGTGGTCACTACAATTTGCTAAACAGTACAGTAACTATCAGCTATTCTTCTATAAATTATTTTAATAATAATTTTATTTAACAAAGTACCAACAATATTTTCAGATTAATTCATATTAGTCAGAAACTTCAAATAATCGTGTTAATGTTTCAGGAGCAACACTTCCAACAGGATCTGGTTGAGTTTGAACAAGAGAAACAAGTCGCCTTAGCGAGAGAGAAAACCACACCCGAAAAGGTATGTCTAGTAGGCATTATTTCTTTTAAATAAAATGCTTCTAAGCCGCGTCCTTGCTAATATAAATAACTACAGCTGACTTGGTGAGCGTAATGTCTTTTGAAATGCCCTGTCTGAGTATATAAATTATTTACCGTGGCTAGTTGGAGTGTGTAAATTATTTTGAAGTACTCACTCGGAGTGTGTAATGATAAACGGTGCAATGTATCACAGGTGATGGACATAGTGCACGCGGTGGAGAGCATCGGTCTGGAGCCGGCGCCGCCCACATCGCCGGAACCCCACCACAAGACCACCACTGTTGTCATGTCCAAGCACACCCTGCAGCCTCAGGTAACACGCACTTATACACACAATTAGCTCTACTGTCTCTAATGCAGCTGTATTCACGGTATTATAAAGAATTGAGCTTTAAACACAGAAGTGTAAGCACGATATTAGCTTGCCCGCTATTTGACAAGCAATTCTAACTTATATTGTAAGCTATGCCTTATTTTAACAAGTTTTAAAACACTTCTGTAAATAAATACTATTACACGCGATGAAACGCTAAGATACAAGCATAAGCGGATGATAAATAAGTAGAAACGGATTGTTCATACAAAAAAGAAAAAAAACAAGCTCTTCTATGTGAAGTTCTTTATTCGTTTTGTGTAAACACACCCTAACTTAAAGCTTTACCGTGAATACAGCTATTACATTTAATATTTAATTATAATATACAGTCACATGCAAAAATGTTTGTTGCATGTTAAGTCAGCATGGTTTGATTTTCAATAGCTTTTGTCGATTTTTAATTAGCATTTATTAAATTGAAATTAATAAAAGAATAATCATGTGACTGTATACATATATGAAATAAAATGAATATTATAATTTAACAATTTTAATTACAGATAAAATATTTTATAAATATGATGAAATAATAAATTTAATCTATGTTCTTTGTAGCATGTCTATAGCTTGTATAATATTGATAGATATTGGAAATACTTTTGCACGGTCTTATATCTGAGACTGTCTTATATCCGAGCATGCACCTTGTAGTATACTGCTTGCATGAAAATATTCTGATTATTGTATATTATGAGTAATATTTACGCTATTATGTTGATATCTTCCAAAATAAATGTTAATTAGTATTATATATTTTGTAGACAGCGCATATGAATGGGAAGGGTTATTTTATTTAGCTTGAAGATCTATTAACTGAATTTATCTTTGATTTTATATTATCTGTGTTTTATACCCGATTGAAAGAAATGGTTTGCATGTGTCCTCAATTTATTTTCTCCATTTATGGTATATAGGGTGTTTCAAGTTAACACGCGATGGATATTCGATGTAACCTTTGATTGAAACTGTCATAGATACAGGGTGGTAGAAAAGATCGATGGTAGCATAGATTGTTGTTTTGTGTTAGACAAACAGTGTTACTGACCATCCGTATTACGTCCATTGCAGAATGCAAAACCCGAGGAAACGGAGGGAAACACATAGTACAACAATTAAACACATCTGTCCAAATAAATTGTGTAAATATTGTGCGGTGATTGCGGAATAAATATTTGACATATTGAATCTTTTTAAACATTTTTACTGTCATGTTCAAACTATAAACTAAAGTTCCTTTCTGTCATGACACTGGTTCCATTTTATACAATTGACTGACTCAAACTCTTTGTAACGTTAAAAAAATATAGATAAAAGTTTTTTTTTTATCTTTTTATATTAAATATGTCAAATATTTTACACTTGTGTAAACGACTGTATTTTCCATAGTATTATGTATATAATAGTCAAATATATTTAGTGGAACTTTGACGGTGGTGGATTTTATGATGTCTTTTATGTAAAAATCATTAAGAAAAAATTCGGCTTGATTGGAAAAATATAATTGACTCGTTATAAAGTATTCCATATTCCAATTTTATTGTATGCTTGTTTGTGGATTTGAAGTGTTGCTAAGAAATATATATACATATATCTGTGTGTTGATTTGTTCGCAGTTTTGAATATAGTTTTTTGTTTTTATCCCCATTACTAAGCCTATATCCCTACGAAGTGATTTATTTGCAAAGACACCGGTTTCAAAATGTTAATGTAACATAAAAAAAAATCATAATTAATAAAAATATTTCTAAATGTTGTCTTATATGCTTTTCTTCCATTTAGTATAATATATATTGAACTTTTTTTTTGTTTTTTTATACTTATTTCAAAGCAGTATTGAATGTAAAAATGTACTAAGATCCGGTGTCTCTGGTTTGTTTGTGTTGTTACATAATACATAAGACCAAATCTACTAAATATTTACTATTCATGTCTACTATATACCTCGTACTGATTACACCTATCTATAGAAAATATATATAACTGTTTTATACCTACCTATTTATAATGGTAATATTTGTAGTTATTTGATAATCCGTATTATAATAAAATTTATAGTATAATTTAAATTTTATAATAAAATTAATAACTAATTGTCCGTTTTGTAACATTAAAATCTTATTTTAATGCTTATCTGTTAATTATATCATTTTAATGATTTTTCGTAGCTTGAAATATAAAATGTTTTAGTCTATGAAATGTCGTTTGTTGCCATGTTACTTAAAATTATATTTTATAAAAAAATAATGTCGTTGAATTGTTATGAAATGTCACATTTTAATGACGACATATCATTCGAATAATTAAATCAGTTATGTTAATCGTACATTTGATATAATATGTTCTTCTCCATTATTGTATGTGCTTGTTGTAATTACACGTAATAATATTTTACGTACATTATGCGTATAATCTTTTGGCCAAATGTAACTGCCAATTATTTGATAACAACTTTGTGTAAATTTATTTAGTGTCAACTAAAACTTTTGATACACAAAAATTATTGGTATGAAGTTATATTTTAAGTGTTATATTTAAATACATAATGTTCAAAAGTACGCTGTTTTTTACTCATTCTTAACATGAGAATTTTTTTACCTTTCAATTTAGCAAGTTTTAATGACATTTATTTTGGAAGATTTATTTTCTTCGATTTATTGATTCGCTCGACTATTTTTTTATCAGCGTTTAATTTTTTGAGACGTTTTCGTGCAAGTCACTCAAGCCATATTGTAGAACGATACATAATATTATGGTAATTCTGAAGTATTTATTGCAATGCAATTGACATATTTTTATTTAGTATTTCGTCAAATAAATGACTGAAATGTAGAAGGTGAAGTGTTTTCTATTGGTTTGGTTAGACGTCTAGTGAAGACGCGGCGAGCCCATCGCCGCTCGCTGTGTTCACTCAGCAGAAGGTGAAGAGCCCGCACACGTCGGCCGCCACGCCCACCTCCCCGTCACCGCGAGACGACGGCACCGCCGTGGACCTGCCCGCCGCCCCCCACCGCCCCACACACGCGCCGCCGCCGCCCCCTGACAAGCGGAAACCCCAAGTGCCGCGAAAACCGAATACGAAGCGAGTTAGTTTCACCAGCGATCACTACGAACCACACGACCGACATCCATCGACGAACGAAACTGATCTCGATCGCAGCCCACCGCATGTGGGAATGCATGACTCCGCCCCGGACACCGGCCCCGCCACTAACGATGCATGCTCGGGGACGCGTAGCTCTTTACTAATACACCGCCCGCCGAAAACGGAGATGGCGTTTACGCAACCGGTCCCGCGGCCGGCCCCCGTGCTTCCCGAGGACTTTATCATCCCTCCGCCGCCTCTGTTCAGCGCCAACGTAAGTCAAAGTCAGTTAATAGAGGACGAGTGCGAGCTCGATGTGCCGCTCATCTCCCTCATCCCCGAACGTATCGTCCTGCCCGCGCCCGCCCTCGCGGAAACAACCATGCAGTCCTCCAACTCGACCAACTCTCCGGAGACCGAGCTCCCTCCCCCCGTCAACTATGAGGCCCACCCCGCGATGGTGACGCCCGCGCCCGACCCGCCTCGGTCGGTCATCATTTCCCAAGTACCTTCTCCACAAGTCTTCCGCAACTCTAATCTTCACTCGGAGGAGACTTCCCAATACTATAATGAAATGTCCATCAGTCCGGACGGAGAGCCCGATCCCCCGGAGTTGTTGCAAGTCCAAATCAAAACGTTGCCAACGGTGTCACATATCCCCAACTCCCCATGTAGCTTGCATCCTAATCTGTCCTACTACGAAGACAGTCAGAATCAGAATGTAACACACGCCTCCCTCCGAGATCTTAGAGTAAAAAATATGCCCACGAATTTGGTGCACTCGACGACCTACCCGCCAAATAATCCGTACCCGTCTCTGACGACGGTCGCCGGCACGTACAATCCGTACACGCAGCCCGTGCCCGTCCGCCTCGACCGGACCGACAGTAGGATGTATAGTCCCAAAGTAAGTCCCCCGTCCGTCTCCGTCGTCTTCCCTCTAGATAGAGATATAAACGCGAACGTAACACGAGCCGTCCCCATGCGCACGGGCGATACGTCGAGAGATGTCTCGGCAGAGCGAAGAGTTCACTTCGGCGAAGTGACGACCGCGCCCGAGACCCATAGATTGTCGAACGGTTCGGATCCGGGCCGGGAGGGGAGCACCTCGCCCGCCGCCATCCCGAAGCCCGCATGGAGCAGCAAAATCAAATCCTTCGCCATCGGCGAGGTAAACATCAATGTACGGCATCTTACCCATACATACACACACTCGCTTCTTTTGATTGTGTTCGTCGACAAACAGATCCGAGATCTTGACTAAAACATCTGTCGGTTCATCCCTCATGTCCCATTTTGTTACATGGTCAATTTGTCGTTTTTAACTTGCGAATTATTATATTTTGCATGTTTTATTTAATTTACTTATATTTGCATTTTTATTATTTTTGCATAACGAATCTATACTGACTGCATGGGTGTTTAACAATCAGGAGGAGGGTTTTCTTTATCGCTTGTAAATATTCTGCGCTTCTTATATCATTTTATGTCAGTGTCATTAACACTATGCTAATGTCAAAATAAAACTAATCTTAACTCGAATGCTTAAAATATTTTCAGGCTTCCCCACCTCATTCTGGAAATTTTGTGAAAGCTTCGGTCAGTGATAAGAAGAAGTTCTTCGAAAATGCTATGGAAGAAAGTCATAAGTCATCACCTAGACCAGGTAACCGTCATGATATCTTGTAAAACATTTCTAATCACATGTTACGTGGGAAAAAAAGAAAAAAACAACTTTTATAAACTGTCATAATTCATTTTTCAAAACAGCAATGTATATTCCAGAGAAAGTTTTCACATTCCTGTCAGCGGATGAGGTGGAGAAATTGAAGCAAGAAGAGGAGAGGAAGATGGCGTCGTTATCGCGCGCAGAGCTCGGCTCGTGGTCACCCGGGGAGGACCGCCGCAGCGGAGACAGCGAGCACTCAGACGACGAGCCCTACGAGAACGGACACAAGTAAAATGCCTCATAAAAACTAATAATCTCACTTAGCAAACTTAGAATCGGTATAGCGGCTAATTCTACACAAGACGAGATAAGACAGCCGAGTTCCGAAGAGATCTATGACACTCTTTCAACATAGAAAAGGAAACACTGAGTTGTAATATATCTCACTAATGCGCCCGCAGCTAAAGATATAATTTGCACATTGCAGTGCACCAAGAGGGGGTGGAGTGAGCCCGTCAGCAAAGGCGCAGCGGCGGCGCGCGCGGGAGAGTGGGGCGGGGGGCGAGGAGGACGCAGCCACGCGCGCCGCTCGCCGCGCCGCCTGGCGGGCAGCACGACTACGCTCACTTGAACAGGTACCTACATATATCTATTATTTTAAAAAAAATCTTAGTAGCACATGTTATATTGTCTAGAAGAACAAGTGGGCAGTAGCCTACGTTATTCCAGACATTCCACATCTATACTAAATTTCATCGAGATCCGCTGTTCTAGAAATATCTACTAACAAACATCCAAACATTAGGATTTATAATATTAGTAAGATCTATATTTACGCCAATAAATTGACTGCTGCATTTATTATTTAATCTTATTAATTAGAAATCATAATTCACATCTACAGGGAGTTCAACGGCTGATTTTTTTATAAATTTTTTAAAGTGATTTGAATTTTTGTTAATCATCAGGAGGCAATAGAATCGCAAAAGGTTATAAAGAGTATGGTTGGTCCGGCGACAGAAATAATAGGCGAGGTGCCTTCCAGAGATAAATCACCTTCAGAGGTATGTTACTTCAGATTTGATAGCAACCGAATGTCATGAAATTAATACTAATAAAATAAATGTCTTTGATGAAAAAAACGATACAATAAAATTAGATTTGAGGAATTATATAAGATTATCAATATAAGTTAATATTGTGTCGTTTTTTTATCACAATATAATTGAATGTATGACCGCATAATCCTTGTTTGTGTAACAGTTAACATCGATTGGTTATTAACACATTGTCATAAACATATAGTTCGTTTCCCATACTCGAGTTTGCTAAACCAAATACCTATTTAATTCATAGTCACATTATCCGACTCACCAAAACATAAATTGCTAATAAAGTTCTTAGTTAAATCCATAATTAGTACATGTTCAGATCATAACATATTGTCCTCGTGTTGGGTAACGCTTTGCACCAATGTCGTGTCGTCTCTCGCACTGGGTTTTGTGATTGTCAAAGATTGGCTTTACAAATTGTAGAAATGGCCCCTGCCGCGTATCGCGTTACGTACAAAGCCGGGGCCGATACTTGCCGTCAAGGAGAAGGAAAAGTTGTTAGACGAAAGAATAACGCTGCGCACGGAGGAATACGTTTGCCCCACCACGGGCGACACTAAAGTTCGCACCGTCGAATACATTGAGAAAGTCATTGAGAAAGAGGTAGCGTAGAGAATCTACATTACGCATTACACGCCGCTGTACACAAATGCCCTGTACCTGTGTGGTTTTTATTGTTTATTCTACGGACAACGCTTTAGCTTTTTATGACGCAAGACAATGACTAGTTAGGCCCGTCGCACACAAAGCAACGTAAATCTTGGAAATTCGATGATTTTAGTCGCTAATTGATTTACGCAATACAATGTCATAAAGATTAACACACACCACGTGTTACCGAGATTTCTTTCTGTTATCACCAAAGACGTGAGAAAAGTCGTTATACAGTAGATATGTAGTCGCTATGCCTATACTGACCGAATAGACAACCTGCGTCAACGATTCTACGTTATACGTAGGAAGAGCGCGCAACGCGATTCTCGAAATGCAATCATACAATATTAATTTTGACGATTTACGTTGCCTTGTGTACAAAGGACCTTAAAGACTGACTGATTTCTTTATTCACTGTTTTATGTTGTAGAATTCATTGAAAATCATTGACAATCATTGGACAGTATCGTGAAGGCTTTCTTTATTGTACCATATCATTTTATGTACATTTTCAGTTAGGAAAAGTAAAAGGAAAAAGGTTTACACCTTGGATACAAAAGCACACAAGATTGTATTATATGTTCAAATGAGAACGAAGATTTTTTTATTAGACATGACAGTACTGACATAGTAATTATAAATAATGAGTTAATTTACCTGCGCCTACGCACATAACGTATAATCACATGGCTCCCGCGACAGACACATACAGATTACCGCTGTGTAGTTAGTAGACAAAATTACTCACGCCCGTAACTTGATGGGTAGGCAGAGATTACTGTGATACCAAATAAAGATGTTGCCACCAACAATCGACTAGAATGTATAAGAATCGAATAAATTAAAGATCGCTCTAAAAATTGGTAATCTCTGACTATCCTATTTGTTAGTAAATGTAGTCATTTCAAACTAATTCTTTGATGTGGTGGTTGATGAATGTGCAACTAATATTCGTTTAATGTTATTTCAAACGTTTTATAAGTTAAGTTCAATGTCGTGTGTAAATTGTCTTGTTTTTAGGAACTTTACGAATATTTTAATAACCTTACCTAAGTTAGAGTTATTTAAAACCTTGTTGATATTTTTAACCCGCAATTTGTTAATAGACACTTTTATTGTAATTTTATATATTGTACCTGATTATCTTTATAATATAATTCTTCTGTGAGTGTGTATGTCACTGAACTTCTCTCAAACAACTGGACCGATTTTGATGAAATTTTTTGTGTGTGTTCAAGGGGATCTGGGAATGGTTTAGATTCACAATTTTCATCAAATATTAACTTCATATTAATTTATTCAAATTAAAGACCTGTAGACGGGACAACGTCTGTCGGGTCTGCTAGTATAAATAAATAAATCAAAAATAGCCTTTAGTTTGTCATAATATTTTCTTGAAATAATGATTTTCTGACTTAAGTGAGGTAAATTAAATATATTCGTACTGTGAGGGTTGTTATTTTGTATTTTTATTTATTTATTTATGTATGTGAGTGTTGCATGATACTTTGGCATGGCATGCTAACATATTTGTGTATCATTTGTCAGACAATACCTGGATTCTAGACACGGCAACTTCACCGAAACAAATGGTTTGTTGCATTTATACTTATATCGCTTTCACTTCGATGTGTCTTTTTTTTATATTCAAAAATTATTTTGCACGTAACACTTGTGTTTGTATATAGATTTGAAATAAAATTGTAAATTTAATTATGAAATATACTTACTTTTAAACGTGTTACAATAAAACAATTTTATTCAAAATTTTAATTTGTACAAATATATTTTTTTACTAATCACAGAAATTAACACGCTTCTATCAAATGATCTTTTCAATATAATTTTAAAGTAATCAATAAATAAACATAGGTGGAGACGACGCAAGAGAAAATTATATCATTAGAGTTGACAACGAGCCCCAGCAGTGAGTGCGCGCCCACAGATATGGAGGGGAACAACCTAGGCGAGGGGGAGGTGGGGGAGGACTCCCTGCAGCCAGACATCGTACAAGTCGTCAACCCTCTGCTGGACGGCGGCCTGGGCAGGGTCACCGCCATCCCTGTAGGTCCCGCGCATCGCCTCACAGCCTACACCGACAAACAATGAACGAAATTGGACAACCCGATTAGTGGAAATCACCCTTAAGTGTCTTTTGTCCGAATTATACTGGACTTTAATATTCTCCGTACTTTTCCTGGCGATTATGAGGTAATCCGAGCTTGTCGCGTTTTTCTAGCCTATCCTATTTCAATAGAAACTTTCCGTCCGATGTTGTTACAGATTATGTTTCTATCCAGTTGTTTGATCCGCGTAAAGTTTGTTGAGATTTATTAATCATTCTATAGAAAATGTTTACCTTTATCATAATCGCCATCCTGTTACCCATGACAACGTATCGGCTAAAAAATTCAAATGTTTGACTCGATTGTAGATTTCTTCAAACGAACGACAAATAAAACGAGCATGCATCATTATTTTGTATTATAACTGTGATAATATTGTTTAGAATTCCACCGAACTATTGTTTTAAAACTAGAAACGGCAACAATATTGAAGAAATCCACCAGCGAGTGAGCACCGACCGCGGATTGTATACAAAGAGGAACTGATCCTAAGAAATTCTAACTTGGCCGTCGAAATAATTATATCACCATAACATTCTTTTATTTCTACTAGGCAACGTTTTATATTTGAAACATATTTGCATGTTTTTTGTGTGATTATTGAAGGCATTTCTTTAGTTTGTACATTCATGTTCAAAAGTTTTACGGCAACATTTCTCCTTTGTATATAATCCGTAGCAAACATTGTTATTGGACATTTTGTTTCGATCACAATTTTTATTTTTTTATTGTAATTTTGCGACGGAGATTTTAGGTTTTAACGATATCTATTTTGATAAATGATATTGTTCTTCGAGTACTTTACGTATTTTTAATATTAAATTTAATTTTCATTCCGTGGAAGATTTTTTTTTAGAAAGTTTTGACTGAATGATTATCTGTACCTGCCGAGTGGAAATTGTGAGTTTGATTGCATGCAATAGATTGTATTCCATGGTACTTATAGGTTTAGTAAGTGTACATACCAGCATTATAGTGTACAGTCACGTACACAATCGACAATCGTCACACTTAAGGTACTCATCCATTGGCCCGTGTCCAACGCACCGTACGACCCGAAACGGATTTTGATTTTACATAGCATTGCGTCTATCATCCACGCCGTACGTGCGGTGCGTCCGGTGCGGCCCAATAGACGCGTATCTTTAATCTGTTCCGGTATTTTATCGATTTTAATTTTATTTCATCTTTATTATAAATATAGAATTTAGTATAATTATTTGAGCATTGACATTAATTTTCGTTCAGTATTTGTTTTATCGGTGTATTATTTTTTTATTTAATGTTTTAAATTTATTGAATGTATGTGGTGCCTGTTTACTACGACCTAAGTTTTACCAACTACATTTCCTTGCATAATTATCTTATCGATTTAATGTTTTATGAATATAGCTGAATTGTATTATGTCTAATTGATTTTTTTATCCTGGCAACAATTTTTCAATGGTATAAAATTTTGTTGATTTTTTTTTTGTAATTAAGTAGTTTGAATTATTATTTAAAAAGGAAACTTTCGTATTTAATAGATTGAATGAATGAAATCATTTTGTGTGTCCTTTGCATCTTTTTAAGGTTCTAAATATGTGAATTGTAAACTAATGAAAATATTGTATGTTTGCCCTAAATAAATGGTTTAATATATATTTTAATAAAATATTTATGTATTTTTATTAGAAAGAAAGAACTGATATTATTTTAATTTTCATGTATACCAATAGGTATGTAATCACTTTGACATGTTTAAAAGAGTTTGACTAAATAATTGTAAACATTTTAACATTAAAACTTTAATAAACTTGAATAACATAACGGTATTAGAAGACAAATAATGTCTGAAATAAATTGCACTGACATATCTTAAAAAAATATCCATACATCCATTGTCTTTATTTCTTTGGAGCAATAATTCCCTCCAATTGAGCCTGAAAAAAAAAGATATATATATAATTATTTGTTAAATACACTGAAAATACTACAAATTAGTGATTTTATATTCCTTGAAAAAAAAATATAATTTTAACAGACTTGACTATTAAAACGTTACCTACTACGATTTTACTAATATTACTATGTATAGTGAAAAGTATAGAAGTCTCGTAACCTTCAATTGCGCGTTTGTCTTCTTCAAAGCCAGTAATTCTTCTTGATGTCTCTTCTCCTCTGCAGCTCTCAGTTCTGCAGCGCGACGCTCCAGCTGCTCAGTCTTCTGTTTCAGCTCAGCGCACAGTTTCTCCAAACTCGATCGTTCCGATTCCAACTTTGCGACTTGGTCCAAAAGGTCGGATTTCCCTTGCTCCGACTGTAGTACCGAGTATAGTGTTTATGCACGAAATTATGAGATAAAAAGAAGTCTTCAAACTATAGTAAAACAGATTAATAGGACACTGTTACATTGACATGCCGGTTATGATAACCAAAATACAAGATACTAGCTGCGTTAAGAATAATACTACAATATTGATTACTAGCTCCCTCAAAAAACTGAATTAACGGTCAACAAACATCCATCTAGATGGGTGGAACATACGCATTTATATTAGTAAGATAGAAAATTATTGATTACTAGCAAGATTGGTCGTGACTTCGTCACCGCGGAAAGTAAAGAGAAATAACAGTCTAAAAACCTTCCAGTCAAACCTATATACTCGGATATTACTCTATTTTTCCGGTTTTAATTGATTTGCTTGTTATACCTGTAAGGCCTTCCTCATGCCGAATGCTATGGAGCTGCAGTAGAGGGTCTGGTAGGCCTCCATAGTGATGCGAGCCTCGTCGCGCACACGCAGCAACAGTAGACCTCTCTCGCCGCAGTTTATTGTTACCTGTTAAACATTAGCAATAGACTAAGCTTCCAATTTTATGGCAATTTCTTAATATTAAGAAATAACTGTCACATCCAATCCCTATATTTTGATATTATTTATTTTTTCTTCAAAATTATCTTTAAAGAAAATGTAATAGACAATGTCAAAACAAAAAGTAAATAATTCAAAAGAATGTATTTTACATTCAACAGGTAACAAATAATCAGTTAAAAGACTTAATTTCCATCATTCCTGTCGTTTCTTTAGGTATACTTGGAAAAAGTACTTCAACCCGAAGAGCTTATAACTAACTGGTACTATACATAACACTTGTAACGTGGTCGTTACCTGTCGTATAAGTTCGTCGAAGCATTGCGTGTAGAGTTGCCTGCGCACGGGACATATGCCGGTCTCTCGCGCCTGCCGCTGCTGCAGCCGCGTATCCAACAGCTCCTGCAGATTGATCACGTCCAGACGTGTCGCCGGCGTTGAAGATATCTGCACACGATACACCGCAATAGTATAAGAGAAGTAAAATTTTAATCAATAAACTAATATGTGCGTTTTCCCACTTATTTGAAGTCTACAGTACATATGGTCAAACTTGTTTGAATTGATACGTTTCGATCCGCCAAATCAAATGCCGGGTACTAAACTTATTTTATTTCTTTTATCTTCTCTTCCTAATTTCTATAATAGTTCTCGGGATTCTATCACGCTGTCTTTCTTCTATAATCTAAGTATTATAGTGAGTGTTGTACTTACTTTTTGGGTCCATATTTGACCATCTTCTTCCCATTCCTTAGGTGGTAAGATTGCGTTCAATATTTCTTCAGTCTCACGTTTAGCTTCGGTAGGGACACATGGCTCTATTGCGTCACCGCGAGGTGAAGGCTGTAGAAATTATAGAAACGTATAATAAAACATCTCGTAGACCAGCAAGCCACTTGTCAGTCAACAATAGTGGAAATGCTACATGCTGCTATACGAATTTTATGGAACGTGGTTTAAATCCAGACAACGCATCCTTGCAAGTGATCATCGACATGGAGCGCTGGCTACATTCGCTCAGATTGCAGTAAAGGGGAGTTTCCACTGTTATCACAACAGCATATAAAAATTATCTCCGTTCCAAAGACAAGGATGATATTTTATTAAGTTTTTACAGAACAATACAAAAAGCAAATAATAAACTTACGATTGATTCAGCTTTCTTAGAAACCAACACAGGATTGTCGTAACGCACTAACGTGTCTTCCGCCGATGTCGTGATCCTCTCTGCCATTGTTTAGTGGTGTACAAAATTACAATGACGATAATAATTTGATTTTTAAAATCAAAATAATACAAGTAATTCGCGACGTTTATAATACAGATTGGTTGGTTGCTATGGTGACAACTGTTGCCAACTGGGATATTGTTATCACAAAGTATAATTATAATTTTTTTATTTGAAGCTAAACTGCAGGTTCTACAGCATCCATAGAGCAGTTTCTACAAATTCCTTTCGGCTTTCTTTTAAAAATGAACATCTTATTTTTTCCAAAACAAAAGTTTTCATATAAGCTATACTTAAAATCAGTAAAAACACAAAGGTATTGATTTTATAATTTATTACATACTTACATATGAGATATAACTTAGTACAAAAAGATCTATAATTTACAACTTAGTATCTATTGCGAGTCACTGCTGGAACTTGAACTTGAGTCAGTTGACATGACTTCAACATCCTCTTGATTTGGGGCGTCTTTGCCGCGACCGTCTATCGCCACTGAGTTCCCTCCTCCCACCGTCATGTGCAGTTCCCCAGATGAGTGCCATGTAAACTGGTTTGATGCAGATGCTGGTACTACAATTTAAAGTTAAGTAAATAAATAACAGAATGCATTTTAATCTTACTAATTATGATAGATGCGAATGTTTAGATGAATGGATGGATGTTTGTTTGAATGTATCTCCAGAACGGCTGCATAGATCGCACTGAAACTTGGCATAGATGTAGAAGATAGTTTGGAAGAACACATAGGTATATATTGGTATACATAGGTATATTATGTACTCATATAAATTACTATGTTTATATGTTATAGATATACTTTTTTTTTTTAATTCCATGCTGACTGATAGCTAGTTAAGAATAGTCAGTTCTGTTTTTCAGGCTACAGTCAGTTACAATGAAACATATACACATATAACACTTGAGTAACTTAATTAATATAAGTTGATTATAAGTAAATGGCCAAGTACATAAACAGAAGCAATTGAAATTATGTCAAAGGCCTGATATAAAAGTTCAAATATTCATACAAAAGAAAATATATCTGTTTACAATACAATTATGTAAATGTATGTCAAAGATAAAATAAGTACATAATTGACCAGTACATATCATACATCAATATATTATCATACAAAGTATGAGGAAAATATAAATAATGATATTAACACATTTATAATTTGTTTACTTGGAACTAGATATGACTTGGTAAATGAGTAACATACCTCCACCAGTGGTTATTCTGTGCAGTTCGTTTAATGTGGATGGTGTGTGACCATTAAGTGGCAGATCACAAAGTCGGCCAAGCATTCCTAATCTCATTTCAAGATCAGTAGGATAAGGCCTCCGTGGATCTCCTGGCTGCCAGGATAATGGAGCACTGACTGCATTTGATGCACTTATTCTAGAAGAAAAAAGAAGTTTTTACATTCAGGTAATCTGAATTATATTTAGTCTTTATTACTTTGATAAAAATTGATAAAAATATAAATATGACATATAAAAACATTTTGGGCTCCAAATTAAAGTGAAAATGTTTAATACTAGACCCAGGCATTTTCAGCTTTGCGTTGATAGTTGAGGTTGTCAGTTTACTCTTATATATATATATATATCTATAGATAATGCCAACTATGTCTTTATTTTTACCTGTGAGCAAATTTAATCAATTCTTCAGAAGGAACGGGTCTTTTCCTTGACTTAACTATAGAAGCAAGTTTTTGTCTTGCTTGATACAATGATGTAGCTAAAATTTGTTCAGCATCTTTTAACTGTCTTTGTAGATGATATATATCTTGATCCTGTATTTAAAAAAAACATTAATTTATTAAGTCAATATTGCACATATATTAAATATTACACTTTACCTTATTGTCTACTTCAGCCTTTAGGTCATTCATTTTTTGTTGTATATTTGCTTGTTCGTCGGCTAATTCTAAAGTCTTTTTCAATTCAACGTCTTTAGCGAGCAGTAAATCAGTCAATTGTGCATGGTCAGCAGCTGATAATTTCTGCGCTTTTGGAGCTATTGAAACTTCTATCATCTCTCTGAAAGCCAAAGAAAACATTAAAAACGAATACCTCTGAGGAAATTAATGCTACTTGCATATATTACTTACTTAGCTATTAGTTCCATGTCGTCGATTATAGATAATAGCCGATCCTTGGTGCTTAAATGAGATGCCATTTTATTATTAAAAGCTTCTTTGTCCCCTAATGTTTACAACATTCGCATTTCTGCTTCTTTTGAATTAATATAATTTTAATTTGATTCAATTCAGCATCGATTTGTTTGCAAATTCTGACAGTGACATGTGACAACAGAATACAGACCAGAAATAAGTTTGTACTACATAGATAATACAAGACACAACGCCATCGTCCAACGCAACGTTACATTCTAAATTCCGCTCCGACCCGGAAAAACCAAAAATATTTTATTATACAGTTATTTTTATACATGCGAAGTAATTTAAATACCTTGATATCTTCATTAAATATATTGTTGGAATTAGTGACCGACAAAGGACAATTAATTTATTAACAATAACGATATTTCTGATTAATTACAGTTTGGTTTTGTTACTTACTCATGTACAATTTAATTTTCTGCTTGAGAATATGCAATGTTTCGTGGTTCTTTAAAATAAAATTAAAACTTTGCCCTTCTGTCATTTATTGCATATAAATCTACACTATTATTACAAACAGGAAATATTTCTATTTGCATATGTAACCAATAAACTCAAAATCTACTGTCAAAAATAGCTTTGCAAATAGAAGGCTACATTACACATTGTAATAAGCTTATTTTAAGATATGATAATGAACAATTGACAAAACTACACATGCATACAAAAAATTATTTCGTAAATACATAGAAATAATTTCGCCTACCCATTAAAATTACTAGTTTCAAACTGTCCGTGAAGTATTGGTAAAATCAATTTTAGTATACATGTATTGCTTACATGGTTAGTATTATCTTCCTATAAATTGGCGCGAGGAAAAAAATTGTTAGTTTATTCGTTGAAACTTTATTTATTTAAAATGTTACAATTATTTTTTAAGTAAGTACGCATTGCTGTATTTCAGTGTGATTTATTTTTTTGTGAATCCATATTGATAGTCTGGTTTGCCAATTTTAATAAACTTGCTTTAATTACGGGACTAACTTTTAATTGACTTACGACTAAACTAGAACTCCGAAATATTACCCGTTCACAATAACATGATACCTGTGTGTGATGGAACGTTGTGATTGAACAGTGTACGTATAGGTGACGTTGTCGTAAAGAAATTAACTAGGGTGAACATAACAAAGCTTTTTTGCTCACTGTAATAAGTTTGCAGTGCGGAAAATTGTTATACCAGAGGGCAGTGTTGTCGCATAGCATACGCGTTGCGAAAGCCTAATTTCACATACTAATTTTGTTTTAGTGTAACAAATCAGTAATTAATCTTACTGCGGCACTCAGAGCAGTTAAATGTTACCCTTAGTGATTAAGAAAGACAGTTAACTGTCATTACAAACAGACATTTTTAACATGATCAAAGATGCCGTCACTAATACTGTAGTTAGTCAATACCGGTGCATAATTTTGCCTATTAATCACATGCTAATGTTTTAGTAAAAATCATTCTCTGGAAAGGATTCTTTGTTATGTCTTTGCTCGTAATCTTGTCATAAAGTTATGTCTTATATGTTGTACACAGTGGTCATTCAATTTATATGATCATTTATATCTTTCCTGTAATGAATCGCTTATTAACGAGTAGAACAAAAGATTATTCAATCAGCTATCTGTAGCCTCGGGCAGTTGATATTGTATAACAGCCATGTTGACCCAGTTAGGTATCACCATTGTGTGTTTTGTGATCACTGGAACTTGAGTATATATATGTACATTTACTATAATATACATATTTTTATTATAATATATAAAGCATCGTCAAATAATGCATACTTTTCAGGACATCATGTTACCTGGTTTTTGAGTTATTATAATTTAAATATGGCAGTAAACAAATTATAAAAGCGCAAAATACCAAAAAGAATTGTTGATAATTAATATCAGTATCGTTTACTTCCTTGAACATGTGAAAGCGATTTAAATTCTGCCTACCAACATAACAAAAGTAATACGATATCGCGAGTTCTTGACTTTATGCGCGTTCGCATGAGACTTTCTCAGTAACTGTACCTTTTGTTTTCATTGTAAAACATGAAACAATGCATCATATTGATAACAATAATAAATCTAGACATGCATACTATCTTGTAATTAATTTAAAGAGTTTTTTTTACCTTGATTTAACTTTTTTAGTATTAGGACCCCTCCGACATACAGCCGTTTGTAAGCTCAAGATTTGAATGTCTTAAAAGCGGTTAAAATATTATATATTTTTTGGGAAAGACTTGGCAAGATTATAAAATTTTAGAAATTCAAGTCGTACATAAAAAGATATTCAAAAAAAAATGACCGTCATCAGCTTTAGCACGTTACCAGGTTCCACTGGGGTATTTACGCCTTCTAAAAGTAAGGAATGACTAGGCCTTAGTTAACCACGAGGGTTCAGTGTGGATTGTTTGATTTGACCTTTCTAGTTTCTTAGGAGATTTTTAGTATTACTAAGTATGTATATCCAGGTTGTATTATGACGTTGTATCCGAATTCTATTAAAAACTATGTAACAGCTTAGAGAAGTTCCTTGTAAATAATGAATGCAGTTATTTGTTTACTTGCACGCAAATTGCTTCAATGCAGGCGAGCGGTGATTTGGCGAATGGCGCACGAACCGGCTCTTGTTGCACGCTGTGGGCTCGTGATAGCGGGTTGCGGGGTGCGCGCGGGGCGGGGCCAACCACGCAGTGAGCATGCGCTCTCCACGTGCTCATGGGCCTTTATTACTGAACATATTTTCCCTAACCAATCATTTTCTATTTTACCCTGCCGTTTATATTTTTTAATTTTTTATTTATAAAGATACTAGGTATTTGATAAATTTTAGAGATACTTATTATTTTTATCATTCTAGAACATAATACAAAAACCTTTAAAAATAAAACAAAACAAAATATTATTGAATTTATTTTGATTGGTTTTATATGTTTAAGTAGTTGAATTAAATAAAACTACATTAATTGTTTAAAGACAGTAGTAAGAAGATTTTGAACTTTTAATAAAACATTTTAGAACTTGCACAGTAATAAAGCATCAATGACACAGACTACTTTTAAGTCAGTATGCAAAATGACATTGCTCCATTGAAATAAGAGTGCTGGCTTAACTTTACATTATTTCACCTTGAATACCAGTTTAAGTACTAAATGTATGTCCTAAAACAGAAGTTGCATTTGTCAACTTTCCCGGTATTAAGTTTATTTCATTTAGAGTGTTCATACTGAATAGAATATTTTTTTAGTCTGTGGCACAGCGTGTTTGTGTAGTGGGGAGGGGCTCAACAATTCGATCTCTCATTGAATCAAGTCCGTATGACGGTTGTGTTACGTCCTAGTGCAGTGTAGGTTCGGCAGTCGAGGTGAAATTGGCTCCTCTGCCAATCTAATGGAACATCGTTCCTACGAAGTACCACCGGCGACCGTACTAAACATATCAAACATTCGTCATAAACGCGACAATTGTAGAAAACAACAAATCCTGTTGTTGCTATTATGTTGTTTAAACGGATCATTGAAGGAAAGTCGATGTTGAACTCCGATGTCAAGGATAAGTCACCGGAGAAATGTTCTAGAAGGAAGTCGGAATGCGACGGCTGTGGAGAACATTCCACGTAAGTAAACAACAAAAGAATTTACCACATTTCAGCGAAGTTTATTAGTCAAAGGCTTCTCTATCGCCTCATATTGTTGGTAACTTTCGATCGTTGTATTTGTTATTATCGGAACAGATGTTTATAATGACCAAAATGGTATGAATTGGTTCGTTATTTACAGTTTTACGTTTGTTCTTTTAACACCAACTAATTGGCGTTAACTGGGAATCGTTAACACGTTCTAAATTTAAACCAATGTTATGATTATGGGCTAACTCGAAATACTCTTATAAAGTATTGCCATCCCACTCATTCTCTTTGAAAGAAATAGAGATAACAATATTTTACCGACTTACCTGCAGTTTTAACACGTTACCTGGCGCTTTCGCGTGTGTGAACTTGAAGGTGGTTGATTGGCAACTATTTAGCAAATAGACGATAGAATAACAAAAACAAATAACTCGTTATTGTTTGATTTTTTAAGGGTTTCTAAATATCGTAGATGTCTCTTGAATTCTATGGATCTGTGCCAGTTCATACAATAGTATTAATTTTTATTGAATACAAATATCTATAAACTTGCATATTTATTTTATATGTAAGCTGACGTAAACATGGGCAAAACTTAACGTATTAATTTAACACATGGGATGCTTATTCTTAAGCCAATGACTTTTTTGTTTCTCTTTTCTCCTCTTTCGTCTACTTGCTATTCAAGTCTATGTTATATCTATATGCCTTTCAGCGAGATCCGTCGATAGAGCTAAAAAGAGATATCTTCTAACAAACATCCATCCATACATCCATACTTTTGCATTTGTAATAGTAAGAAGCAATGTAGAATTTTTTACCGCGCTACTTTCGAGAACATTTGCTTACGGTAATTTCGGTGCTAAAGAATAAGTACCAATTAAGTACCTATGGTCTCTTAACTCAAATGAGGCGGCAGAAGATAAAAACGTTCATCAAGAATCTATTGCTCAATGAAAAGTCAACACGATAGATTAAGGAATATTCGATCAGGGATGTACAAATTTAGAGAATTAGAATACAGAACTTCGACATAGTAAAAAAAACTTTTTTGATAACGTCAATGCTAACACACTCTCCAAGATTGCTTACATAGAACACTGAATAGATTGTCTATTCAGGGTAAAAAGGTCTTGAGAGTTTTTATGTTATTCGTTTTTTTTGCAATGCAATTGATCACACCTGTTTTACATTGTTTAATATACGCCCATTCGTACTGAGTTCTAACACCTAGAGTTTCTTGTTTAATAAACTTCAGTGTTATTCAATATGGAATTGTTTTCACACATTCAAAGTGCAGTCTTGTATTTTGTAAGCTAACACTGTTCTTCATAAATATTATGCTTCAGTCTTTGTTATATTACTTTCCGTTCTGTCTTCATAATGTTTAAAACAAACGATTGTCAAATGGAAACGAATGGAAAAAAACAAAAACAAATAAGAACAGACAGACTTTTTTTTTGCTTGCATGCATACAATATGGAAAGCTAAACTGACCATTCTTAACAAAATAACCATAGGTTTGCTTTGGAAACATTCACAAAGCATCATTTATCTGTTATTTTCTTTGAAATAAACAAAGGTTAAAAAATTTGAATATGCCAGCAGTGGAAACCCACGGTAACCAAGCTAAACTGCAATATTCAATAACAAGCAGCCTTCCTTATTTGAATAGGAAAAATATTAATAAATAAAGTTTGAAGGTTCGAAAGCTTGTTGAACCTTGTTCACCTACTTTAAACCGGAAGGATTGCGATGCAATATTTCAAAGAGAACGAAATGGAAGAGAATATGTTTTTACACATGTGTTTCAGTGTAAACCTACGGTTATGCGACATCTAAATGATCACATCGTGACACATACAGTTGTAGCTTTTTTAAATGACATCAATTATTTCATGAGCAATCAACAGTTAAAACATTTTTGAGTGATGACTATTCTAACAAACGTTTTTATGTGAAACGTGGAATTATAATTAAATTTAAAAAAAAATGTTGTTATCATCTTTATTACCAAAATTTTTGTACTAGCTGTCGCACGCGAAACCGTCCGCGCGGTATTAAAAAAAACTTAATGGGTAGTCTATGTTTTCTTCCAGACTATGTTCTATATGTATGCGAAATTATGTCGAGATTCGTTCAGCCGTTTCGGAGATACCTTCAAACTAATATCCATCCATCAATATAAATCTGACTGAATTCGTCAGAAATCCAAAAAAAAATTAACTGATGGGTCAACGATATTACATATTAAAATTATTTACTTATACATACAGTTATTTTAAGTAAAGTTTATTGTTAAGAGGCAATAACCTTGGAACAACCACATTTTATCATGTCGTTAACAACACCATGTTAATGGTCAAGTACCCATATCTTCTACCTCAAGCATCAGTATAAAGATGACAAAATCATTTCCATAACGTTAAACCCATTCTTATCCTCTTCGCTTGTGGTAGGGTGCGTGAATTATTTTACTGTAATGTAACGTCACGTCCTAAATATAAAACATATATTATTGACTTACCACTAAAATTACTTCTCCCTAATTAATTTTCTTTCTTTAATTTCTCTCGCGAGTTATAGCCATTTCAAAGCTCAGTTCATTACACGAACGCAACATGAAAGTGACTAAACGAATTAGCATTCAATCGGTTACAATATGAACTTATTTTTATCGCTGAGGGTGACCCTACTTATTTTCCCAGTTCAATCTCTTTCTGGGTTTGTCTAATGGATTCACCCTGTCAGATTACCCGACACCAGAAAGCAATTACTATTTCCCAGCACTGTTTTATAGATGTTTAAAATTGTTTGTCTTTCGACTGTAACGGCAATCAGTGACGAATTCATCTTGTTTACAGTATTTGCGTCATAATAAAACGATTATTATTATTAATTAATTTCTGCCAGATTGGGGCGACCCAGCTTTATCTTTGGCATTGTTGTAGTTGATGACGAAATCAACAATAAACTGCATTAGCGAGAATCTTAAGGTCATACTATCAGGGGTCTCCAGTGATAACCCTATGTTATGCCGGACTTATATATCGTTTGTCCATACAATCTTTACCAGTTTGACGACAAACGTGTCCAAGTCTTATACACGCTGGCTAATAGTTTAGTCCAGAGAATAAAATTTGTGATAAGTATGATAAGTGAACGTTTTCGTGTTCGCAGTATCTTGGAAGAAATGACGAAGATGGTGTTGCTCGGAGTGGTGTTGTGGGCCGGTGTGACATTCGGCACCCAAGTCGCCCCCTACCCGCTTAATCTGATTGTTAGCTCAGGTGAGTTAAGTTCTTTATTGGCACACTTAGCACCGTTAAAGGTATAGGCGTTAAGTAGTGATTTGTTTTAGATAAACTCCACCCACCGCCGATGTATGACTTCCCGTTCCCAAGCGCGGAGATGCTAAGACGTATCCCTCCGGTGACTACGGCGCATACCAACGGTTCGGTAGACTACAGCAAGAAGATTGTAGGGATGCTCGAGCGCTACGAGCAAAACCTACAGGCTGCGATGGTGACGCCAAAGCAGGGCAGCGCAGCACAGGCTTTTGCCATACAAGGCCGCCCCTCCAGCGAAGCGATGCGTTATGAGAAATCCTCCATGATTATCACAAAGGCTTCTCAGAATCTTATGTGGAGAAAATGCTCAAAGTAGGTTAAAATCACAGAACTGAAATAATACAATTTTTCAAATCTCTATGTAATCTTGAGGCTTTCTCGGATTCTAACGAAGAAAAACTTGTTTGTTATTTTTGACACTAAACATAAAATGCGTTATATATTGGGTCATACATAAAATTATTTTCTCTTGATATCAATTGTGTTGTATAAAAATCCTCACGGAGTCTTTTTCTTGCAGCTTTGGTATGCCAAACGACGAGTGCGCGAGTTTCATAAGTACTTTGAACTTGCGCGAGACGGAATTCGGTCCTGAGTGCGCGGCACTGGAGCGGTTCACGTGCCGTACTAACAAGATGTCTTCAAAGTACCGCACGTTCGATGGCTCTTGTAACAACCCGGTACGATCCTCCTGGGGCCAAGCACTCACTGGATTCAAGCGACTACTCCATCCGAGATATGCTGATGGTATTGAAGAAGTAAGTACATCGTTTGATAGTTATTTTGTTCTGAATTTAATTAAGTCTTCAAAGCTGAAAGTCTGATTTCGTTATGTCCAGCCCCGCAAATCCGTGCTGCCAAAGCCCTTGCCTTCAGCACGCGTGGTCAGTATGCAGCTGACTGACAATGTGGACAAGCCTGATGACAAGAAGACAATCGCTCTTGCTGCATGGAGTCAGTTCCTCCATCACGACTTGGTTCATATCCCTGTTAGGAAAACTAGTAAGTAGGCCAACTCATAAATTTATAGTAACTTAATTCGGATTTTCAAAAGGCTCTGGATATACGCTAACATTTTCGAATAGAATCCTTAGATTGATGATGAGTTTTTCCACCAGTCCACACAAACCAGCCGATTCGTTGCTGTGACGTGTCCGGTTACAACCTTGCGCCAAGGCACGTGCACCCTAACTGCATGCCGATATCGGTACCCAGAGACGACCCGATCTTTAAGGAGGATAAGAACAGGAACGCCATCACTTGCATGGAGTACACTCGCTCTGTCACCACTTTCAGAGGCGACTGTACTTTTGGTGCTGCGGAACAGGTGAATATATTTTTCATAGTACTAATTAGACTTCACAAAGTCATATTGTCATCCCTCTCATTATCTTTGAAATAATAGAGACAACATGTGTTTTTAAGTCATGGTTAGTGCGATATATGTTGATTTTACCAAACGGTTTCAGAGATATATGGCTCATTAATATGTCAGAAGCAAAAGCTAAATAATCGTTTAATCGTTATTCAAATGTTGTTCCGATAAAATACATAACAAAGGTGTAATTTGACTAATACCACGGTCTTATGTTTATGAATAACAAATATTGTTATTATTTTTATCTCTGACAATAGTTATTACTGTTCTGATAAGATTATATTTGACAACTAACGGAATATTTTAATATTCCCTTATCGCGCGTTTCATAGAAAAGTTCTAGATGAAAAAAAAATTAACAGTGGTAGAGCCCGCTTTAACATCTTCGCACGAATTGGCCTGGCTTGCTCGGTGAAATACCACGACCACACAGAAGACAGGCGTGAAGTGTGCGTCTCGGAATCCTAATTTAGTCCTCATTCCCTTCCCACCCCTTTTCTTAGATGGAATGCATGGGAAGTGGAAGTGGACTTTCCGGATGGGAGGATGCATGGAAAGGGAAAATATTTTCTTTGTGTGCATCCTCTCCTCCGTCGATTAAAGGTAGGCAACACATATGCAATAGCGTATGTCTATGAGCAACGGTCACTTCGCTATTTCAGCGATTTCAGGTGGCCGCTCGCTCGTTTGCCACCTTATGATATAAAAAAAAATATATGTTTATATCAGTAAAAATATCGAGAAAGCTTTTATCTTTACATTTAATTCTATTATAACATTGTTACTTTATATATTTTCTATTAATAATATACTAAATACATATATGTAGGTATATTTACTGGTCTTTCATAACATTATAAGTTTCTATATTTAATAGATTCCCTTTAAAATGACTCGCCATGGTCCTTCTTACAAACTTGGATAAACCTAAACTTAATATTTATATGTATATATGTAACATAGCATTTTTCTGATTGATTCATTTTATATACGACTCATAAATGAATGATTTTATTAGTCATATTGTACTATACAATGTAATCATAACAAGTTTTCTTTGCACGAGGTTACATCGTGATTGAATTGAGCTTACATCAACAAATTCCCTTTCTTAAATGACAGTGTCATGTTGTTAGGTAACAAACAATAAGGACACTAAAAATATTAAATTAATAATGATATGGAACAAAATAAATTCTGGTTTTTATTTAACCATTTTTTTTAAACCAGGAAAATATGTTCGATTTTTGAATAATCTCAGTTATCAATGAAAAGGATGATTTTAAAGTAAAAAGGGAGATATGTATTTCGTATGTTTCCGGCATCTTTAATTATTTTGTAAAATCTACCTATTTTATTTTTATTCATTTATTTATTAAGTCTATTATGATAGATAAAAAAAAGTATGACAAATGACTAAATTACAAAGCAGGGGCGACCTACAAGTGATCTAGCGATCTCTTTTAGTTATGAAACTTATTTCTTCTTTTGTTTAAAGTAAGAAGTACAGGAATCTAATTAACAACTTCTTTTATGTTTAATAATATAATTTATCATTGTATAGTTTCATATAGGGCATTATTATACTTGTTTATATTTTTATGTTAATTCAGCATAAACCAATTTAACAAAAGATGTAAACATCGTTGTTTACTAATCGATTCGCACACGACCACTAATAGATATGACCTATTGATTTGTTCTTGAAACATTTATAGCCCTCATTGACTTCAATAGAGGAATTTGACTTTGAATTAAGACCTATTGATTCGCGTTCGTTTAACATGTTGTAGGTTACTTTGACATTAGATTATTGATTTACATTGTATTTAACTGTCTCCTGTGTCGTATGGAATAAAAAAAACTACAATTTTTCTACGGCATGATGTACCAATTTTTTTCTAATAGACCCTTTTGAAGTTTATTGATTTTGGTGAATCTCCTGCTGCTTTAATCTTCAACTATTGAACCCTCAGAAATTTCCGCAATCATAACCCCGAAAGGTTATTTGCAGACCCCAGGGAATTAAACTTGGTCATTTTAGTGATCACTGATTGAACATATACGCACAAAGCAAAAAAAATAAATAATAAAATCACACTTATATGTTGTGCGCCTTGTGAGTTTATAAATGTACTTATTTGCTAGTAATAGTTTAATACTCTCAAGGCCTTTCCAATGAACGTACGCGAACTCTGTAAACAACTGGATTTAACAAGTTAACAGTTCATTTAATTTCTGTAATAAATATTTGCAACAATAGACCGTTGGTTGGCATTGAAATATACTGTAAAGAAAAGGGCATATATCTTTGCATCTTTCTTGTTTGAAAATAGTGTTTCGATATTTAAAAATAGGGTTCTAAGAAGTAATCTGCAGGCCGTTGCATGAAATGTAATCTATTTTTATACTGGCTGGACGGGTTTTAGAGCTATGATGCGAGTCTTGTAATCTGCTGAGTGCAACGCCTGCGAGTTTATAAATAAAATGGCACAACGTAACACCCTATGTACATTATCACGCTTCGAACAGGTACTGGGCAGAGTACTGCATGTTTTAAATGGGAAAATGTCACTGGCATTTGGCATTTTTACAATGCAGCTGGTATAATACGTTTTTTTGATAGCATTTGTTCATTTTATGTCAGTTACGTCATCATTTTCAGGTCTTACGTTTCGCGCATCAGTTGTATGAAAGTTAGCTATTCCTAAAGAGATTTTAATAGGTGGTATAAGCTACATTAAAAGGTAGCATAATAGATTCATGCGTACAGAAGATTTTTACATAACGGATATGGATGTTTATAAGCTCCAAAATATCAAATACGTTTATGATACGTGAAACTTATTCTTATTTTGTATAAATGTAATAATGTAGGTAAAACTTACGTAACTTAATGTTTGAAATAAGTAGGTGTTGAGTTCATTCTCTAAACATACGGCGCAGTTTTTATTGCGTCTTTAACGACTTCGAAGGAGGTCGTGCTGACAAACGAAATAAGGGTCATGTTTCTGTCTCTTTCTAACGTATCTATAGCATACAATAAGTAAACGAAAACATATTGCGTAAACAAAAGTTAATTACCGATGTTGTTATTATTTAGACTTATTTTATTACGTCCTAGAATTGTTCTTTTGTCTATACTAATTTTACTAATATTATAAATGCAAATGTTTTGTTTGTAAGATGGCCCAGAACAGTTGCATGGATCTCGCTGAAATTTGGCATAGCTGTAGAATATAGTTTGAAAGAACACATAGGCTACTAAGTTTTTTAAATGTGCGGACGGAGTCTTGCGCTACACCTAGTGTGTGCATAACTACGATAATTTTGAGATATCTATATTATGAGACCCAGAGTTTCCACTTCCATGTGCATATCTCTGTTATTTTCTGCAGTGTATGCTTTACTTAAATCTCTGTACACATTTTTTAATCGTTTGCAATGAACAGGATGTTTGTTTTAAATAAATATTAATTCGCAATCATGTCCACGACGAACGATCACGTTTCAAAGTTGTTAAACGATTTAGTATCCATTAAGCGTTTTATGTATCTATTAGTTAACGTTTCATGTTGATACGGCTTTGCAAATAACTACTCGAGTTGTTTTTCATTTAAAATAGCCCAAGAAATTTATAGATACTAACCACGAGTAATGGCGGAACAATTACATGAAACATGTTGTCATCTAAATTTCCAAACAATAATTTCCATGGTATTAGTAAAAATTAAAAAAAAAACAAAACTAAAAAGTAACGGAAAAACATTAAACCTAGTTTGTATATTCCACTATAGAAACACATTTTAATGCCATCTCTCTCATTTCCTTTGAAAAGAACGGAAACAATAATATGTTTAACTTCAAGCATATCTCCCTAATGTATATAAAATATAACATAACATACAAGTAGATTGATCAAGGCTTAGTCACTCACAAATTTTTAATAGACTTTGCCTCTCGGTAGGGACGTACATCTATCATAGAAATCACAGTTATTGTACAGTACAGTTAAATAATCTTATTCATATCCATTCGTTTGTTTCAGATGAACCAAGCAACTCACTTCCTAGACGGGTCTCATATCTACGGGTCTAACAGTCGTGACGCAGCTGCATTGAGAGAGAAGACAGGCGGTCTACTCAAGACTTCAACAATTGAGAATGAAGAGCATTTGCCTTTAGCCACCTCCCCCACTGATAAATGTCTCGTCGAGAGTGATAAGGAAGTTTGCTTTAATACTGGTAAGTTACAAGAATACAGATTTCTTTTATTTTATATGTGCATTAAAGATTTAAGTTAATAAAACACTTATCATGGGTTTTTGAGAACATTACTATATAAAACATATCTTTATCCCTGTCATCTTGAAAAAAAAACATGAAAGAGTAGAATGGAAACTAAAGCTATGTAATTATTTATTACAGGTGACATCAGATCCAACATGCATCCTTGGTTAACCGGTATGCATTCCCTTTGGGTAAGAGAACACAACAGGATAGCGAGGACATTAGCCAATTTGAATCCGGATTGGAATTCTGACCGACTGTACCATGAGGCGAGGAGGATTGTGGTTGCTGAGCTGCAGCATATCACTTACAAACAGTGGTTGCCTGCTCTTACTGGTAAGTTCTTTTAAACATAATTGCTTTGCCGGTTTTAATTTTGTTTTTGTAAATTTTCCCTTCTTGTATTTCCACCCTCCTCCTAATCCATTCCACCTTTTACTCTTGTCCTTATAAGAGGTAGTCGTAAAGAGGACCAGAATTTGGCCTCCGCCGCAACGCAATCGTAAGGCAAACTTCTACTTTACAATTCTTTTTTGTCTGGTAGTGGTATTGCAGCGTCGAGCCAACCTTGTGCAGAAGCTAATGCCACTGCCGGTTTTACCTTTGTTAAAATTTTCAACGAAACGGCTACCCAAATTTTATGTCTCTGATTATTTCTGACCATGTATAACTTAATAAAAAATAAATAAGTGAAAATTCCTTTCTTTTAGGTAAATCGTTCGATGAGATGTACGACAGTTACGATACTGGTTACAATTCTGACATCGATCCTACCGTCACCAATTCCTTCGCGACAGCTGCTTTCCACTTCGTCAATACTCTGTTTGACCAGGACATTGAGTTGGTGGATGCTGTCAATAATGTTGTAGCAGAGAGGCTAAGAGATAATTACTTCAAACCTGAACTGATCACAGTGAAGGGAGGTCTGGAGAAACTTCTACGAGGCATGGTTACACAGAAGAGTCAGAATTCCGATCTTAATTACGATGACGACGTAAGTTGATATTATTTTTAATATTTATTTTAGTAAAAAATACTATATTTTGTTACATTAAAAGTCACATTGGGCCTTAAATATTTTTATTAAAGTAAAGTAATTGAAATGGGTACGTGCTCGTTATACACAAGTCCAGACAAGGTGACTTTTTAACCTTTGTATCGTATGATCCGCAAAACATTTTCCCGTATGTTTTATTGATATAATGAAACACTCTTTGCATTCCAAGTATAAAACTGAGTAAACAACTTAGTGTCACGTGACTCACGTGTTTGTGTTTTGTTCTATACTAGCTGTCGCCCGCGACTACGTCCGCGCGGCATTAAATGAAACATAATAAATAGCCTATGCGTTCTTCCAGACTATGTTCTATATGTATACGATTTTCATAGAGATCCGTTCATCCTTTCTGGAGATACCTTCAATCAAACATCCATCCATCCATCTAAACATTCGCATTTATAATATTAGTAAGAAGTAAGATATGCAGTATATGTTATTGTACATGTGTATATAACGTCGTCTGGTAGTTTAATGCAAAGTGATAAGTATACATGTTTACTATCAAAACAACTCGAGTTCATTATAAATGTATATTGTTTTACGTCGTAAACATTGTTTTTATTTAAATGATTTCATTATGTACTTCTGTTACTGCGTTTTAAATGATTTGAAATTATCAATCATCTAGTGTAGGTTTTGACCCCCTATGTGGGGACGTATAGTGAGCTGATGATGATGAATCAACTAAAAAGTTGATTATAATACTTTCTATACTCATATCCAAGGAATTGTTTAATTTTGTAACATCGAATATCGCCAGATCTTTTCTAAAGGTGTCCAGTTTACTTTTAAGATAATCGAAAGTTTTTTCCATGTTGACCAAGTTTCTTTGGTCCTTCTAACATGAAAAAGCTTTTTTGAAATGCGATTTTAAACACAAGTATTTTGTTATTTATAGTTACGTCACCACTGGCTGGGTGGTCTGGACGTGTTGGCGATCGACATCCAGCGTGGCAGAGATCACGGCCTGCCGGGCTACGTCCAGTACAGGACTCTCTGTGGTCTGCCGCACGCCACTGACTTCCAACAACTGTCCGATGTTATACCGCAACAGGTAAATACAATATAATCTGACTTAAATGCTAAAAAACTCTATACCTTATAATTTCTTGATATAGTTTCTTGTCTAGGAACATGATTTGAAGTTTATCAGAATGTTAAAGAGCAGAAATCGAGAGATATGAAGTAACTACTGCAGATAGTCTGTAACAATTGGAAATATTTAATCTCGACTCCGAATCTTAGAAGTATTTTGTGTATTTGAACAGTTCAATATGTTTTTGCAGACAGTGGACAAACTGTCAAAGCTGTACGATCGCGCGGTCGACATCGACCTAGTGGTGGGCATGATGGCTGAGACACCGTTACCTGGCTCCTTACTGGGAACTACTGCTACTTGCTTGATAAGTTAGTATTACTTTATGTTTATTTTTTCACAGGCTTTATATTTAAAACTATAGTATTTCTTTATAATTTAAATTTGATATTCCATAAGAAGTACTCGTTTTTGTCTACACTTTAGGCTTTAGGGTAATCAACTAGTTATTGGCCACCATTTTCACTCTAATACAATTAACAATTATCCTTATCTTAACAGAGGAACAGTTATGGCGCACGCGTTCCGGCGACCGATACTTCTACACGCACTCGGAAGCGGGCAGCTTTAGCAAGCGTCAGCTGGCAGAACTCAGGCGGTCCTCTCTGGCGGCTCTACTCTGTGACAATGCGGGTGTACAGCGCGTACAAAGAGATGTCTTCAACACACCCTCTGACAGGTAATTTTATTTGTATTAAATTGTATGTGTAGTCAGTTATTATTGTGATTGTATGTATGTTTATTTCGGGAGCTGTCATTAGACGCTTACAATGCATTTAAGTTGAAAACTTTATATGAAAACATTACTATGCAACGTTTACAACCTACTCAGGAAATCTAATTTGATTATTTTAGTGTATAGTCATGTTTGCTTGCAGTGTTTCATTTATAGAAACCTTTTTTTATTCCTAACGACGAACTTAAACTTAGCACCATTCGCAGATAAGCAAATATAGTGTTAAAGAGAGATTTAAAACTGTATAGAGTCTATCATATAGTGGTTTTGTAAAAATAATTGTCGCTTTTAACTTATCGTGAAATACCGCCAATTTACGTGACTGTACAGTGATGTTTAACTGGAATATTCGGTTTTTTAATAGAATAATATTAGTGCAACATATTGAAAAATAATTTATTTCTTTGTAGTAACCCAGTCGTGTCGTGTGAGGAAATAAAGAGGGTAAATCTGGAAGCGTGGCAGAATCCGTCGCAACAACCCGACATCCTGACGCGCACTAACAACTGGCTTAAGAACAAAGTCGCCAGCGCTGGCAACACCACCAAGTAATCACTTAGATGTTTAAGTTAAATATAAGTATTAATATTTTAACTTTGCTCCGTTAGTTTTTGTCTAAAAATCTATTGAGTCGCTTTTGCTAAAAAAATATAATTTATTTCTATTCGTGCAAATACTATTTTATTTTATATGTGAAATAGAATCTTAGTTTCGCTTTCGTAGCAAAGTTAACGTATTAACACAATTAGTGTTAAATCTATAAACAATACAGTAGCCCATCATGCAAATGTGAACCTTATAGAGTTGTGATTAAGTACGTTTTATTTTATTATCCTAGTGAAGTTATAAAATGATTTAACGTAAGTTATATCGAGATTGTGAAATGTTTTAATTTGCATTATGGACTAAGTAATGATTATTGTATTTCGTTTTTTAGTTTTTAAGTTTGGCTCAGAACTGGGATGCACATTTTTATGACATGATAATACATACAATACAAACAATGATACAGGATGTAATGTTTTTGGATACAATTGGTTGATTTGATTAAAATGTGTTATAAATAAATGTTTATAGCATCTGATAATCATTTTTTCTTTCGATGAATTTCATTTTTTTTCTTGTTAAGGCAATCTGTGGGTCTAACTAAATTTTTATGATTTTGAAATTGGTGCATCTATAGGTTAAATAACATAAATATAGTCTTGTTAGTCCGTGCGACTAATCGCGTGGGCGCCATATTGTAAAGTGGCTGTGATAAAAGCGAACTGTCAAAGTTCGCTTCTCACGTCATTATATTTTGCTTGCAATAAAACGGTTCCATTGATTCATTTGTTAAAAGATCTCGGAACCGATTTTCTTTACGATGTTTTGAACGTTAGTGTGTGTAAAACTTTATATTTGGCATAGATTTAAAGTTATATTAGTTTCTTTGGCGAAAATATTAATTATGGATATGAATGAAGTTTTATAGCAATGTTATAAAAATCAAAGATATAATAATCTTAGATGAATTGTGTATGTGATAATAAAACTTTATTTTAAATAATGAAATTAATTTTTCCAAAATTCATTTAAATGTGTTTGTGTACTTATTGTGTGGTGTGTTCTCGATTATTTCAATATATTTGAAATTAGTTACTTAATTATACTGAAAGTTAAAGTTAAAAGGCATTGAGCATCTTGTTTTACTCGATTTTTGTAAGGGTCTTGATAGTTTTTTAATATTCCAAACCAAAGTATGTTCCCTCGAACAGTGTCTCGAAGTATAAAAGCCTGAAATACGGTTTGGCATATTTCAAAATTGTCATCACTTTTATAATGAACTGTAAGAGTAAAAATACGCCTCATAGAATTATTTATCCTAAACTATTTTGATAGTATTAAATATTTTGTTAACTTCAGAAAGTGTCGAATTTACCTTTAGGTCTGATATTTTAAGGATTTTGGCACATGAAATGACAGGGGTGACGCTGGATGACGAAAACTCATCACGTGAGAAAACATTGAGTCAGTCATCGATCTCAAATTAATCAACCAATAACGCAGATCTACTACCTATGTACGATAACACGAGACTTTGACAAATATGACGTCACTGGAATACTTGGGACATAAGAAACTATGCTATAACGTTTGAATTCAATGGACACATTTGATAGCACGACTAAGTGTGTTCATTCTCTGCCAGTCTTATGTTATTGTGCACGCGTAGTAGTATAATTTTATGTACGTTCGAAGTCTTTGCGTCACCTGCTTGATAGTTTTCTGGCTCGTTGCCAACAATACCAAAGACTGGTTTGCAACTGAAAGCAGCATTTACTTTGTAATCAACTAACATTGTCAGTGGAATGCACATTTGTATTTATTAAAAAAATGAGTTAGTCAATCGTATATCGAGAATAAATCTTTATTTTTCAAAAATGTATTTATGCTCTCTTTATATGTATCGAAAGAAATTAAAAAAACTGTAGTCAACATTTTTTATTCTCAAAATAAATTAATATGTGAACGCACAAATTAAACGTGTTCAATAATTCGCAACCGTACTGTTGTAGCCGTACCCTAATATTTTAAACTAAAAATGTGTTTCGTAATAAGCAATATTTAATTTAAAAATATATCATTATTATATCCATTAAAAGTAGAAAATACAATAGAAAGTATAAAGCAAATTATTATTCTGCACCATTTAAACAATAATTTTTAACAAAATTATAAAATCACCAATTACTGTGTTCCGTGTTAATCAAATTGTTTTGAATATGTCCTCTTATAATCAGGGTATGTTCTTTTCTTTTTTAATTTGTCAATAAATTTATTTATCAATGGCATTTGTGTTTTACTAAAAAAAAATTGTGACAGAACAAACATAAGTGGAATCAAGGCACTCAGCCAACGAGCCTGCACGAGGAAGTATGAACGTGGAAGAGGCGAGAAAGGTCTTGTACGACCGCCAGTAGCGGCGTTAGGGTAGGGTGAGCTGGGGCGACCGCCAAGAGTAGGACATAAAAGGGCGCCTGCGATTCCCCCTGACATACCCTATATTTGGAAGACCAAAAAAAAGGAGGTGGAGGGCAAGAAATGCTAAAACGGGCCTTAAGGACAGCGCCCAATGAACAGCCGTTAACTCTGTTATGTACGGTTGTGTTATTTGATAATTATGACTGAATCTGCAAAAGTCTTCTCTGTGATTTTCCACTTTCGTAACACTCGTAAGGTTTGGTTATTTAAACGTTAACATTCCAATATTTTTAAATCCTATCTAAACAACCCTTCAGACTAGTACTTCAAGTCAGATCCCAAGTATCGTCTGGTCCTATAACCAGACAGATGCGGCATATCTTGATTAAGTTTTCAAGCAGAAAATAAGTTGTCTTGGCAGATACCGATTCTTTCTTATCTGTAAATAACTTCGTCTTGTCTAATTCATGTGGAAAGCGAGCTTAAGTCTTGATATGGGATTCACTAACACTAAGATCACTAGCACTGTCGATTTTTAAGTAAACAATTTGTATGTTATTGGTATAGGAATTTAAGATATAAATTTCGAATGAGTTATTAAGCAGGAATTTACTTATTGCGTAGTCATTTTCAAGGAACTTGTATAGGAAAGTGAAATCAGTTTGCTTTATCTGTATTGCATTAGTTGCCTGTGACTGGGACACGGCGACGCGTAGTTTTGTAGTTTCGCAACTATTGTCAACCTGTGATAAGAGAAACAGTTCGTAACTAAATTATTTCGTATCGTGTGCACGTTAAATAGATTTCTTTAAAACGTAACACTCAAATAACGGAAGTCATTATGATAAAATTACGATTGCGTTAGTTTGAAAATATTGCATTATACTTTTTTAAAGTAAAATTAACTTTTTTTTATATCATAAGGTGGCAAACGAGCGAGCGGCCACCTGAAATCACTGAAATAGCGAAGTGACCGTTGCCCATAGACATACGCAATTGCATATGCGTTGCCTATCTTTAATCGACGAAGGAGAGGATGCACAGAAAGAAAATATTTTCCCTTTCTATGCATCCTCTCATCCGGAGAGTCCACTTCCACTTCCCATCTTTTCCTTATAAGTAAAATGGTGGGAAGGGAAAGAGAACTAAATTAGGCCTCCGGGACGCACACTCATCAAACGAAACGCGGAATTGCATCCACTTCACGCCTGTATTCTGTGTGGTCGTGGTATTTCACCGGGCGAGCCGGGCCAATTCGTGCGAAGATGTTAAAGCTGGCTCTACCACTGTTTTAAAAGAGGTACTTTTACAAGTACTCGGGTCGAATGTCCTAAGCATCATATTGTAATTATAGCGCCTATTATAATTTTCAAAGATAGCTTTAGGGATTAATTATTCTAACTTAAGTAGTAGATCTTACTCTAAAACTATTGTTGGTAAAAATTAAAAAGTTATAAAATGAATCAATTATTATTATAACACTAGTTGGCGCCCGCGACTCCGTGCGCGGAATTAAAACTTAATTAGTGACCTATGTGTTCTTCCAGACTATATTCTATGCCAAAACACAGCCGGATTCGTTTAGCCGTTTTGGAGATACCTTAATAGCTTTTATTTCTTTTGTTATAAGTTTTAATGTCTTCTTTGAATTGTTAAAAACGTAATGATTCTTACAAATATGATTAAAAGCAGCATAATTGTAGCAACGTAATTAAAGTTGTTGTCACACTTCCCGCCTTTTTTAAAATAAAATGTTGACAATTATGATTTTTTTATAGTTTTCTGACTACAGGTGCAATTATTTAGTTATTAAATCAAGGACTGCGTTTTATTTTGTAATTCGAATAAATTAAGGTACCAACCATAACCACTCGAATAATAAAATGCGTAACTATTTTTAACAACTTAATGATTAATTTAATCTTTAATTGCAACAACATATTTTTTAATGTTTAATTATTTCAGTTGACCCCATGGACAAACCAACGAACCTTCTTGATATTTTTAATTAATGGACGGTCTCTTTTTGAAAAATTGCAAAAACAACATTCTAGTTGCATTTGGACAACTAACATTTGCTTTTATTGTACCCCGAATCAATAAATAACATGTATTTTAGAATTTTATTGGGGATTATTAAATTTAATTAGTTGTTTATTATGGCTATGAGATTTACTGTGATTTATGTTTTATCTATCATGTATTCATAAAGTTTTTGCAATATATTGGAAGGATGTAGAACTTGTAGAAATGTATTACATTTCGCAAATAATTTCTCACGATTTTTTTGTCTATTAGATGGAATATCTAATCAGAAATGAGATAGCTTTAAGTGGATTTTTCAAATGATTTTTCAACATATATGTGTTTTTATGTAAACTATACAATTATTGACAAATGTATCTTCTAAATTATAAGACATCACAGTTTTACTTTCATAAAATGTCATCTTATCCATTATTTATAGTCTTAGATTTACAACATAAACAACGAGACAATTAGTTCCGGTACATTTAAGTTAGAAATGTAATAAGTTAAGCAAGGCTTTGAGATATATTCGTTACGCAATGTCACAGTATCAAGGGGCTCGAGGCGAAATTATCAAGGTCTATACATGGCGTATATGAACGCAACAAAAAAAAAATTGTACGTGATA